TCCAACATTCGCAAGGTCAAGTAAAATTACTTTTTCCAAAATATATGTACAAAATCTAAAATAATTTTTTTAAAAGAAAATTGCCAACCGCGGGGTTAGCCGACCCCAAGATTGAACATTTTAAGTGGTTGTATCAAGGAGAAACTTTTCCATTATTAGTTGGGATTCTTTAAGTCTGAAATAGGTTCTGAATCAACTCATCAAGGTATTAACTGTGTTTGCTAGGGTTTGATTTTTCTCATACTGAAATTAAGACTAGTAACGTGCGGCATTGACCATTACCTGTGAGTAGCGAGGAACCACGAGAGTAATTACTAATTTTAGTACCACTAAAGACGGTGACAGGAGTATCATATAGGTTTTCACGTTTTTCCATTGTTGTTTGGCTTGGTCTAATAGGTTGAAGTCATTAAGTCAATAGTATTATTTAGCAATTTGGTTGCATTCTCACCGACGCATTTTGTGTAATTCGTACGAAGCAGGCAGTAAAAAGAAAGGTGTGGCATGTATACACTGAGTTCATTGATGAATCACGGTGTAAGAGATTGAATTGTATGTTTTTTTTCCATATATTCCCAACTCTCTTTCTAATCGCGAATGTATTCATATGTTTTAATCTACCCTCTAGTAAAACAATAAGTATAAAAAAAAATTATCGTCGAAAGTGCACAATCATATATATATCAGTTAGGTTTGTTAAAGTTAGATTCTGATTTTATTCTAAAAGGTAAATGTCACCCACATGCTAATTTGTAGTTCCTAGGTTCTGATATTCTTGTTTAACAAATTTCCAGTTGACCTGACTGTCACGGTAGCAAGTCTTACACTAATTAAGTGCGTATTAACTTTCCCTCAGAAGAAAAAATTCAATGAAAACCTGACCTATCTCCTCCCAAGACCACTCACCCGGATCATTATGAAATAATTAGGAATTTAGGATAGTGATTTCAGATACATAATATAAAATATATATATATATGTATATATTGTGTGTGTATGTGTGTTGTGTCTAAATATGTTGAGTGCGTTTCTTGCGATATAAAATCTATCTATCATGGACAACTTAAATCATCTAGTCAGCTATCATATACCTATCGAGATGTTTATAATACGGTGAGGGTATGGACGAAACTAGAGGGGGTCGATCAAACCCCAGTCGGCCAGATTTTTCCTTACTTAATCTGCATTTAATAATTTTATTTTCGATCATGCGATTTGAAAGTTTTCGTTCCATTGCTGTTAATAGAACATCCCATGAAAATAAAAATAAAAATAAAAAATCTACTGTATTAGATAATAGATCTTGTTAAAAGATGTGGATTTAATGTGGAGGTGGGCTGACTTAAATCTGGGATCAATTAGTGGGTTAAAGCCCAACCAAAAATGAGTGGGTTTTATCAGGTGGGATTCATTTCGGACTATAAAGTAGGAACGAAAGAATCCAACGGAACATTTTCGTTTCTCAAAAGAACACAAAAAGAAGGCCCATTAGCGATGTATGTGTGCCTATGATTAAGTGGCAGCTGTCCTAATTTCTGCACCCGCAGAAACACCTTTTCTCCTCCACTTTCTGTGACTAGGAGGATTAAAGCAAAAAGTAAGGGGGGGAAAAAGAGTGTGTGTGACCACTGATGAGCAATGACAGAAAAATATTTATATGTTTATTTACAAGTTTTTTTTCCCCATTGTGTTGAGAACATGAGCTGAAAAAGGTTTTCTTATCATTTAACTTTTCCTTGTGCTCAATGAGCTGCATTTACTAATGTCTGTTCATGTGATCATCAAATTCATTTTTCCAATTTTCAGAGACACAACTCTCAGCCTCAAATGTAATCATGCTTTAACGGTTCAAATTAACGTTTTTTTTTTTTTTGTTTGTTTGTTTGAGAGAGATCTAGAACAATTAAAAGTAGTGCTTCGTACCAAACGGGGGCCTATGTAATTCATGTCTTATATCTAAATTAGTGTCTGTTTGATAAAAATTAGTGTTTAATTCTAAATACTTAATACCGAATTAGAAATGCTGAATTCATTAAACAGTTACGGAATAAGTAATAAGCTAACTTTTATTACTTGTATTTTGTATTTAGTTTCAGGACCACTAAATTTATTAAGAGGTTCATTTTTTTATTATCAAATATGCTGAAAAGAAAAATTACTTAATCCAATAATTTTAAGTGACTTTATCAAACATGCTCTGGTTTTTAGCATATAATGATCAATTAAGAATAATAAATATGATTATCATCTTTGTATATTGGATCGTAAGGAATAATACACATGACAATGAAAAAGTTGACTAAGAAGTAAGAATACAATTAACCGCAGAATTAGTTAATTGAGGTCAATGATCTACGAAAATGGGAGAGTTAGGGAAGATGATGATATATAGAGTGGCCTAGTTATATCAAGGCACAAGAAAAAGTAGTGGCCAGATCTACTGTTTTTATTTTATTGATGATTTCTTTCTATGTGATTTAAAACAAGGCTGTGAGAATGAGATTACGTCTCAAATACCCACTAAATCAAATAGATATAGTTATTTTATACCTTAAGTTTCTGACATTCATTCTGGTTGGCATCATCACGAAGGAAACTCCAATGTTAGTGAATCTGATTCCATTTTAATTTACCGATATTAATAAAAGACTATTAAACCAGTCGTTGTCGTTTACCAAACTTGTTTCTCGCCGTGTTAAAACGATTTAAGACACAATTTAATATTTGGTTCCTTTGGTCAATCAGAAAACAAGTGTCATTCAGTTAAGCAAACAGTTGGGAAAAATTAACTTTAGGTATCATAAATTTGAGCCATTACACACAATTGACCCTCTTTCTATAGTCATTGACATATTTGATCCGTCATTTTTAAAACCTTCTATATGTAGATAAAAATAAAAAAAAAAAAAAATTATCCTATCTAGTGTGTGCGCGAGGACCCTTCATCACAGGCATCCCGAAACTCTGCATAACATCTTTTACTTGTTTGTTAACTTGAACATGTTCGACCCTTTGAGGTACTACTAAGAACACTTAAAATTAATAGAATATGTAATATTAGGGAAACTAAATTAGAGTTTCCGTAGGTGACGGCTCGGGTTTTATGTATCATGTACTATATATAAACCATAATATATACACAAAATCAATACAGAGAATTAACTTCTTTCAGAAACAACAACAAAGAAATGAAAGTCAACATCAAGGGGAGCAGAAAACATAGATGGACTAATTGAGTATCATATGAAGAACCGTCGGGCCATCGAGGCCATTGCTCAGGATATCGATGGAAGCTTCCCTAGAAGACCGAATAAAGAACAAGAACTCAAGAGTTATTAGATTTTAAAGTGAGAGACGCTTCTAGAACATCACGATCCACGATAATGTGACCTTCAAATGAAAGGAGTTGATTGGATACAGAGGCCGATCTAGAATCCAGAACCCAATGATTAGATTAAAGTAATAGCCGCTTTTACAACATCTTAGTTATTGTAGTATCCGTATTCTTCCACTATGGTCGCCTCTCTTCTATCTGGACCAAAAAATCAGTCGCTATAACCTTAATATCACTCATTTCCTCCTATTTAATTATCACTTTTAATATAAATTATTATTGAATAATAATTTTGGAACAAAAAAATATTACTAACACAGTTGGTTTCTCAAAAAAGAAGTAAAAGAAATTAAGGTCCCGAGTTGTTAATTTATTCAGAGCATACATGATAGAGATTCAAGTAAATGAGGAGAATTAGTATAACCTTGTCTTTTGAAGGTTAGGCTATGGGTAAAAAAGAGACTCTTGACTTTTGCTTGTCGTTACAAAGTTTGAGAAAATTATAAAAAGGAAAACGAGAAGTTAACTTGTCAAATCAGACGTTATTTTTTTTGTTGGGAGACAATCATATGAAATCCACTATATTGTTACACTAAGCGGATAGAAATTAAAAATTAATCCCAATGAAATCATATTGTAGTCAAAGTACCAACATAATTATTAGGTCGTTGTTATAAATCTATGAAGTCTTCCTGGAGATATATTAATGAAACATATGTTAGATAATAAGTAAAAAAAGAATCGACTCATGATATATTGGTTGAATTATTGATACCTTGTGTATATAGAGAAGTCATATATACTCTAATATCTAATCTTCATTTTCATTATTCTCTCTCATCCAAAACATTGTCACTTTGAATTTTTATTTATACTATTATGGGACAAAGAAATAGTTAATTTCAACCACAAGTGTTTTATAGCAGGGCCGATACCTCGTTGGTCAGTCAAGCAGTAATGCAGCATTTAAAAAAGAGCGAGTGTGCAACCACGTTGAATTGAACAGATGAAGCCAAATTAGCCCAACATCCCCAATGGAAATAAGTTAGTGGAAAGAGAGTAAAATTTACTAGTCCAGAAAAGAAAAGGATCACTTTAGTAATAGAGTCAAAGTTCAGAGACCAAAAGGGCTAATTTTCCTTTTCCCTCGGGCTTCGACGAATTAGATTCGCTGCCGGAGTCGTATTTTATTACCGTTCAAAACGGAGTATTTCATAACAGCTGGTAATCGACAACAACACAGAATTTTTATCGTACCGTATTTTTTTTACCTCATCTTTATTACACAATACATTAACTTCAGTCTCATTGCCCTCCTTAAAACGTCATTAACCCAAACAGTTGATACCATGAAATATATGTTCTTTTAATAGTAAAGAACCAAGAAGAATATCTCCAGATTTTAATGTAGATTTTTGAATTCCAAAATTAACCATAGATTCCGTGACCGTCGGAGCAGGGCACCACAAAATCGCCTTTTCCAACCTATCTCTTTTCTTCTCTCTCTCTCACACACTCACGCAGTACCAACAACAAAAAGTACAGTATCCGCAGCAGTGAAAGAAGTAACATAATAATGGAGAGGGCAGCAGCTTTTATGCAACATTAGCTACTAATAAAGATAAGAACTTGCGAATTAGAAGTTTTTTGTTTTTGAACAGAGAGAATGGATGCTATTAAGCCATTGAAGAAGAAAAAATGGGTCCTTCCTCTGATTTTCTCAATCTCAATATCGTGTTTTATCATCGTCTTTTCGCTTTTTGTCTCGAACCCTTTTCAACCAAGATCCGATATCAAAGATGAAACTCCGATCTTTGTTGAATCGAAGTTACATGTAGCTGAAACGCAGCCCTTTTCCAGAATTCCGAGATTGGCTTACTTGATCTCCGGTTCGAGCGGGGATGGCCAGAGTTTGAGAAGGACATTGAAGGCCCTTTACCATCCACTGAATCAGTATGTGGTTCACTTGGACCTTGAGGCTTCGCCGGAAGAGAGAATGGAGCTTGTGAATTTCGTCAAGACTGAAGCTTTATTTGTGCAAGTTGGAAACGTGAGGGTAATTGAGAGATCAAATCTTGTTACTTACAGAGGGCCTACTATGGTTAGTAACACCCTTCATGCTGCTGCTATTTTGTTGAAAGAAGGTGGAGACTGGGACTGGTTTATTAATTTGAGTGCTTCTGATTATCCTCTCGTTACCCAAGATGGTATGTATTGTTATTATTATTCTATTATGTTACTTAATCCCCTTTTATGTAAATTATGAGAAGGTTTTTGTTTTCCCAAAAGACTTGATTGGGCATTGTCATGTAGAAATACGAGTTATTCTTGGTTAACTAACTAGTCAGTGGTCTTGGACTCTTGGTAGGTGATTTAGAAGAGCAATTCTGTTCTTTCACTTAGTAATATTTCCTCTCTGCTGCTTAATTCTGTTAATCATATTCTGTTGTAACTTTCACACACTATGACAGCAAAATTTCAATTCATAAGGAAAATGCATCATTTGTGTATTCTTGGATTAGGCGTTTTAGGATTTTACTGCATCATAAGATTTAGATTTGTCTGAAAAAGGGGACTATTGAAGGCCTTGATTCGCTAACTTTCAAATGCTATTCCTTTCTTCAAAATATGATCTAATTGTGTGCCTATGGCTATCTGATATATTCATATGTTTTCCATTGATACAGACTTGCTCCACACATTATCAAATGTTTCAAGAGAATTTAATTTTATTGAGCACACCAGCGACATTGGTTGGAAAGAGTACGTACTGCACTTCTGTTTGTGTTTACAGCATTAAAGCTTACTGTTAATTTCCTGCAAGCATTTCGTTTATGGAAACTGTATGAAATGCTCTTTCTGATCTTGTAGGTGGCAAAGAGCCAAGCCTGTTATTATTGATCCAGGCCTCTATAGCAGGAAAAAATCAGATGTGTTTTGGGTCACACAGAAAAGGAGTGTGCCTACAGCATTCAAGCTGTTTACAGGTGAAGTTTCTACTCTAATCCTCTGGTGAACTTTCAACTCAACTTCATAAAAGAAAACAGTGGTTTACTAAACACAACCTGTTTGTGATGACCATATATCAACAGAAAACGGATTTCTCGTTAAATTAAAAACATATTTGTTTCAATCTTTCTGTAACTTGTGTATTGAACTTACTGTCATCTGATACCAGGGTTTTCAATTCCTCTGGTTTCTTTCGAGTCAGTGTATTAGTCACTTCCTTTTCCTGCATAACTGCAACTGTATGTCTATCTTTGCTCCAGCTTAGATAGAAATTTGTTATTTTTTACTGTTTTCTTCTTCTCAAAAGAAGAGGCTGATTATTAGAATAGGTCGCTGCAAAAGATTTTAAGAGTTGCTTGGGAGTCATTATTCATACAGAGCCATAATTTTGTGCGTATCGCCAATTAGTGAGTAGCTTCTTGCCGCATCATCTTGAACGTCCAACTATGCTTCTGTAGTAGCGGCTTTTACATCTACAGTTAATGGAAGCATCTTATGGATTTGTTAATAATAAATTAGAATATTATCCTTGATCTCATTGGCATCCTGTCGATTCTTCTAGTTCATTCTAGTGTCAGTCAATACATGACGCATCGTTAATAAACTGTTTACCATAAAGAGCTTTGCTTACTGGTAACTGTTCCTGGAAACTTGTGGTTGGAATTTGAGAATCATCTTTGAAACAAAACATGCTATAGATGAGAGCATTATACTTCATAGGAGTAAAAGGCTTCTAATAGCCACCCTCCTCTGTAATTATTTGGATTGATAATTAGCTTCCCTCCTTAGGGACTTGCATGAGTCTATGAATTGTGGAGTGGCTAGTATATAATTCGTCTTGAGCTCAACATTAATAGTTTGGTACTTGATGAACTCTTGAAATAGCAACACAAAATTTCTGACCATGGATATGGTTTTTGCTCTCAGGTTCTGCTTGGATGATGCTCTCACGCCCCTTTGTTGAGTACTGTATATGGGGTTGGGATAACTTACCTCGAATGGTCCTAATGTATTATTCTAATTTTCTCTCTTCACCAGAAGGATATTTTCACACAGTTATCTGTAATGCAGAGGAGTTTAAAAATACTACTGTGAATCATGACCTGCATTTCATATCCTGGGACAACCCTCCCAAGCAGCACCCTCATTTCCTCACCAGTAATGATTACCAGAGAATGCTAGATAGCAATGCTCCCTTTGCCCGAAAGTTTGGCAAAGAGGAAGGCGTTCTCGAAAAGATAGATTTGGAGCTTTTACACCGCAAACGTGATGGTTTTGTCCCTGGTAGTTGGTTTGAAGATGGAGGTGATACGAATTCAACTGATTTTCACTATACTACTACAAATATAACTACCCTGAGGCCGGGGCAAGGGGCTGAAAGGCTAAAAAATCTCATCAACGGTTTGTTAGGTGCTAAAGATTTTGATTCAAAACATTGTATTTAGCCATAGAATTCAGCCATCCTAATGAGAGATGTCAAGATTTTGCCATCTGCAGAGCAATAAATTAGAAGCTGATGAATGTGCATTTTGTCAGCAAATATGGACCATAAAGATGTTGCTTAAAGAAAGTAACATGAGTAGAGTTTGTACAGCAAGGGATGGTGAATATATTCCCCCTTCTCCGTAAGCATATTTTTTCAGGTTAAAGAAATAAGTTGCTCTTTAACCGGTTCAACCAGATTGATGCTGATCTCATTTTTCCGAGTAGGAATAGAGTATGTAATATGAAAGCACTAGAACAGACAGCTATTTGATTTGGAAGCTTTCTGATCATGATTTTGCATTTGTTACATATTAAACATGAGTTTATCAGTTCAAGTAAGAAGATCTAGTTATGCTACTTGAGTTACATATTAAGGATTGTTTTCAATATCCGAATTATGTCGTCTTCTTCATCCTTGCATCCTCAATCAGTTTCCAGACGCTGGTTAACTTTCATTATCAAGTCTCGTTGTAAAATGTGCATGAGTTGCTGCTGAAGCAGTGGCGAGGTGGTTCAATCATCCGCGATTTGCACCATTTTCTTGCCAACATTACTGCCACGGAAAAGGGAAACAAAAGCAGATGGTATGCTCTCCACACCATGGGAAATGTCTTCAAGGACCTGAATTTTACCATTCTTGAGGTAATTAACCGTGGTCGAGAAGAAATCGTTGTAGATATGCATGTGATCAGGAATCAAGAAACCCCGAATGGTTAATCTCCGGTACACTACATCTACCATGCTCGGACCAGCACGCTTGTCTTGGTTTGTGTACTCAGATATAACACCACAAACTGCAACTCTGCCAAACGTGTTCATGTTCTCGATCGCTGCTTCCAGCATCTTGCCTCCCACATTATCAAAATACATGTCAATTCCATCAGGAAAGTACCTGCAGAAAAACATAGTTCAGAACTTTAGTTGATCATCCAAGTAGTCTTAACACAGAGTTGCAAATGCAGAACATCAACGTAAACTTTCAAAGTAAAGGTTCTATGAATGACCAATCAAGTATTCTGACAGTCAAAGAGGAAAAATCTTGGATTTCTAAACCTTTTAAGAGCTGACTTGAGATCAGTTTCTTCTTTGTAATTGAAGGCCTCATCAAAACCAAGCTTTTCTTTGAGCAAGTCTACCTGTGATACGATTGCTGAGTGATTACCAAGAGCTTTAAGGATTAAAATTGCAGACTGAAATACTGTAGCAAGAAGGGATGTCCTATGTAAGCATTTCAATTACATGAAATGCCATTACTTCTCTACTAGAAATTGGAAAGACCTAATCATCAAGAAAAGAAAAGGCGGCAGACCTTCGCTTTGCTGCCGGCGCATCCAACAACATAACATCCAAAGAGCTTAGCATATTGACCAACTAAATTTCCAACAGATCCTGAAGCTGAAGAGACAAACACCTTTTCCCCTTTCTTGGGTTTGCACACATCAAAAAATCCGGCATAAGCAGTAAACCCACTCACTCCTGCATGAAAAACAACCAAACAGATTTAAGAATTCAAACTGTTCTACATTTTTCTTCAAGAAGAAATCTTGAAACATATTACAAAGCTGCAAAAAAAAAAAAAAGAAAAGAAAAAACTGGTGAATAAAATAGAATGATTCCTGAAACCAACCTAGAACTCCTGAATGGTAAGAAAGGGGAAGTCCCATGGTATCCACCTTAGTTAACTGATACTCCGGTTTGGTTCGAGTATACTCTCCCCAACTCAGGTACCCCGAGACAATGTCATCCTTCTTGAACTCTGGATTGTCGGAAACAACAACTTTTCCAACTCCAGGGCCGTATATTGCCTGTAAATGAAATAAGAGTCCACAACTTGCAGTGTAAAATCTGCTGATGAATTGAAAACTAAGTAGATTATGGCTAAATTTCCAACTCTATTACCTCTCCAGGGATGAGGGAACCTGAATATTTTATGGGTTCATATGAGGAACTCCGATCCTTCATTCGGTTGATCTGGAATGGATCCATGGATATGTAAAGATTTTTCACAATCATTTCCTTTTTACCAGGCTCAATTGACAGAGTAAGAGTTTCAGGCTTGAGCTCAAAATCAGACTCCTCTGGTGCTCCATTTATGTGATGCTTGATCACTGTATACCTGTTTGTCACTTCCATGGACAAATAAACAGTTCACTTATGTATACGTTGAAGAAATGATGACAAATGGGAAACAAAAAATGGATGAAATAATGTTGACAGATGGAATATCAGAGTGCAAAAACTGATTGAAAGTTCAAAAGGAGATCATTGTTGCTTGTGCATTTGTGGAACAGAGTTTACACACGATACAAACGTTGGACATCAACCACCACTGGTCTTGTACAAGGATAAGACACTAACAACCCAGTTTGCATTTTCTTTTGCTGGACCACTAACTATAATGTAATTGAACAAAAAGGAAACGAACCAAAGTAAAAAGATTAGGTTGGATGAAAATTTTATAGAATGTTTTTGTTGAAGACAGAGAAACAATACTTTAACATAGACCATGGATCCAGCCAATCGATTGAATTGAGATATCAGATGCCATGTCCATCTAAATTCAGCATAAGCTACTGAAAATGTTACCGCGAAATGAAAGTGATTGACGTGAATGTGACATATGTAGATACGAATGATATTGTACATTTAAAACTGACATTTGTTATTACTTATTAGTAATGTAAATTGGTGATTCTGTCTTTCCATCCTACAGAAGTCTATGGGGATCCACTTCAAAACCAATTGGGGATGAGGAGAGTAGCCCATGAAGCTTATATATTGATACTCAGCGTCTCCCAATATTGATGTGGGATTGGAACTCTTTAATACTCCCCCGCAAGCCCAACGTATTTTTTGGGTTGGACTTGTCCTATTTTTTTCAGCTCAGGTACCGCCTCACGTCTCAGCCCTATTTTTTTATTGGACTTTTTGGAGTCCGAATGTCAGCGAGCTGGCTCTGATACTATACAACAATTACAAGTGCTTGTCTCAAATGAAGAGATTTGTTAGGTAATCTTCATGATTCAAGACTCAAGGATGCTACACTATTGGAACCAAAGCATGTGTTTTGATATGTTAGGTAGGAAAAACACTCTGGAGAGAAAGCCAAATCCCTCTTTTTTTTTTTGCAACTTGAAATCTTTTTGTTCCACTAAAACAATATACTAATTATTATCAAAATGATCAAGTTCCCTTTATTTATTCCTCAGCAACCTGAACAATTTTCTTTCCTATGTTATCCCCTCTGAAAAGTCTCAGAAAAGTTTGTGCTTTTGAAAATCACATTCACAAATAGTACAAACTAAAACAATTAAAAGTTTGTACTTTTGAAATGATAGAACAAGACTATACAACAAAGCAGAATACTAAAATGAGACGGAGAGAATATAATAATCTAGGGGCGACCCTAGCTAGTTCCCTCTCCTTTTAGGAGGGATTTTTCAGATTGATCGTGTTCTACTGACTCCATGACCAAACACATAGGCCACTGATGCACTAATTCTATTTTACTTACTTTTCCAAGGGTGATGGCACAGGTACCCGCATAATCCATGGCTTTCTGGGAAGAACTTTTGATCTTCATGCGGTTGATTTGGTATGGATCAATGGGAAGGTAAATGTTCTTCACAATAATAACTTTATTTTTTTTCCTGGGCTCAATCGAAAGGGCAAGAGTTTCAGTTTTGAGCTCAAAATCAGACTCCTGCGCTTGCTTCATCAATCCGATGCTAAATCACTATGTACCTGTTTGTTGTTTCCATTGGCACTGGAATTGTAGATATGGCAATATACTGCTGATGCGTAATTGCCATTTGGGCGTTTGGGCATGAAGCATGATAGAACACATCTGATAGAATATGGAAATAATTGGTATCCTAATTAGGGTTTCCTATGTAGACGGTTAGGGTTGTTACACTATTGCACTATAAATACCACAATGTATCATGTGAATAATACACACAATAATTCTTTCAACATCTACACGCGTGCCCCTCCGGTCCTTTTTAATTGAAACAACATACTAAACGAAATTTAGGACAAATCAATATGCTCTATAATAAAAGATCGGAGGGAGTATAATCTCTTCTAAATTCTAAAGGTAAATCTAGATGCCTTGCTCCTCCCTCTTTGTGGGTCAGGAGGCTTAAATTTAGTCCTCTAGCATCAACCTTGTGGGGTCGCTGGCTTAAGAAGATCGATGGCAGCACCAGGATTCTTTCATTGTATGGGCGAAATGAAAGAACCTGACGACCAAGGTGATCACCACTATTGGTCCCCTTGACTTCACTTTAGTCATTAATTTTAGCAACTTCCTTCTAAAAATTACTTTTTCAACTTTTGCTTCAAACAGACTTTTCTGAACAACTTTTCAAAACTCTTGTCTAAATGGAGTCTTAGATTAATGCTATAATTGTAACAATGATCTGTTCAGAATTATTGTAAAGTTGTCGGCTAAGAGAAGTCAAAATGTACGCTTTTGGTCTTGTATAACCATCCCACCTACCCCATTTTCAGCAACTTGAAATCGTTGTTGCAACTAAAATCAAGCAAGCTCAGCAAGTTCGCATCATTCGTCAGCAACCTGAACAATCTTCTTTCCAATGTTATCGCCCCGAAAAAGTCCAAGAAAAGCAGATGGAATGCTTTCCACGCCACGAGAAATGTCGTCAAGAGCATGCATTTTCCCATTGCGCAGATGTTCTAGCGTCGCAGCAAGGTAATCGCCGTAGACATTCATGTAATCCGCGGCTAGAAATCCCCGAATCGTGATCCTCTTGTACACAACATCGATCATGTTTGGAGCAGCACGTTTGCCTTTGTCTGTATACTCAGATATAACACCACAAACAGCAACTCTTCCAAATGAATTCATGTTTTCGACCGCTGCTTCAAGCATGTCTCCCCCCACGTTATCGAAATATATGTCGATTCCATCAGGAAAGCACCTGTAAAGAGAGTATTGAAACAGGATAAATTTTCGTATCCAATGTCAATCCTAATTTGATAATTCAGTGAAATTCGTATATAGTCTGACAGGCTCAGAACCTTTTGAGTGCAGCTTTAAGATCAATTTCTTCTTTGTAGTTGAATGCATCATCAAAACCAAGCTTTCCCTTGAGCAAATCTACCTATTGAATTTTTCCAAATCAAATGATCAATACAGAATTGAAGATGATTAACATGTTCACTAGTTCTAATCTTTAAAACCTTAAATTTTTGTTTTAGGAAATCAATGAATATTACCTTTTGTTGGGTACCAGCACAACCAACAACATAGCATCCGAAGAGCTTAGCGTACTGTCCGACTAAATGACCAACTGATCCAGAAGCAGCAGAAACGAACACTTTTTCGCCTGCTTTGGGTTTACAAACCTCGAAAAATCCAGCGTAAGCTGTCAGCCCACTGAATGCTGCAAATTTATCACTTGCAATTGGTCAATATATCCTTCTTTTTGAAAATGGAAAACAAAAACATTTTGTGACCAGAAAACAAGTTCTGCTTGCTGTTGAACTAGAACAACACAACAAACACGACTCTTTTTTTTTTGGTTAGATTTTAAAATGCAAGTCAACTATCATTGGTAAGAAAATTAATAATTGTGACATTACAATTGAAAGGTGAGATGACTACCTAACACTCCAACGTGGTAAGAGAGTGGAAGTCCTAAGGTAGAATCCACTTTATTCAACAGGCCGCCCTCTTTGATTCTGCTGTATTCTCCCCAGTTCAGCAGCCCGGCAACCAAGTCACCCTTCTCAAATTCAGGGTTGCCGGAATCCACAACTCTTCCCACACCAAATGCCTCAATGGGCTATATATCATCAAAATTCAAGCCTCAGGATCAGTAAAAATAACAACACTGAATTTATGCATTTAAATGATTTAAACAAAAATGACCCTTAAAAGCGATTTTTGCCGGCTGATTAATGGTATAGACAGAACATGTGTTATACCTCTCCAGGGATGATGGCACCAGCAAAATCAGAGGCTTTTTGGGAAGAACTTTTGATCTTCATTCGGTTGATTTGGTACGGATCAACAGAAAGGTACAGATTCTTCACAATAACTTCTTTTTTCCGGGGCTCAATCGAAAGGGTAAAAGTTTCCGTTTTGAGCTCAAAATCAGATTCTTGAGCTGCTTCATCAACCAGATGCTTAATCGCTATGTACCTGTTTGTTGCTTCCATTGAAATTAAATTTGTAACTAGGGATATTGTGTTTGTCGCCTAAAAAAGCAAGAAAATGTTGGTGAGTAATGAGGAAGAAGAGCTTTCAATCTTATATGTATATCGGCAAGAAAGAGGAAAAATTTGAACAATACAGTAGTAGGAAGAAAATGCCAGCCGGGCCGGAGAATTAAATTCTTATTTAGCAGCTAGCTATAACTGATGCCATTATGGTGATGATATTGGATTCGGAACTCAAGTATTTGGAATCTAGTGAACATCATGACAAAAACATTCATCGAGTTTTATGTCTTAACCTAAGGGATCTGCATCAGAGAATCAAATGGTTTATATAATACCAAAATTAGATCATGATGAGTTATGTATACAATAATTTGGTTCTTAAGTTTCAAAAAAAACTAGTAAATGTTGCGACGTGTATATATAAAGTTGTTGAATCAAAGTTGAACTCCTAGAGGTTCAATATATGTGTTGCTTCCCCTGTATCAAAAATTTGCAAAAAAATAAAAGAAATTAAAAAAACCCATCATACCATCAAAGAATTTCTTCATTTCGATGGAATCAGGGAGCTGCTTGATAGGGAATCAACAGCTTGTCCGAGCGTCATATCCATAGAAAAGCCAATTTTATCACCAATTGGTCCAAGACATAATGTAATTGGGACGTCTAATTTCGAAAAAAATTAGTATTTCGATTCAAAACTTTGCGCTTGTCGTCAATTTTACCCTATAAATTTAAGTCAACTGTACTCTAATATTTGAAATTTTCTCTAATCTCGTAATATTAGAGTTTGAATTAGACGGTATGCCTCCTTTGTGTACCAGAATAAAAACAAAAAGAATTTTTTCCGCTGGTGCTGTAATATTTTTTTGCTCTAATAGACTGTAGATGAAAAAGAGGCTATTAGATTATACATTTCTCTGTCTTAAAATGATTGTCAAATTTAAATTTTCACTTTTAGTATAATAAAAATGAAAATACTAGACATTCATTTTAGGGACAAAAACAATACAGTATGATATTATTATATATATTAAAGGAAAGAAATATAATCGACACGTGTCGCTAATTGAGACCATCAAGCATCACTTTTAACTTATTATCATTTTAGTCCTTAAAGTTCTATTTATGTACTACTTTGTCTTTAATTTTATCGATTTTATATTTTCAAGCACGATTAATTGTGTCTAATCCCCAAAGTCCCCTTGCCTATAAATAAGCCATAGGCATCTAGACATAATTTATGCATTTTTTAATATATTTTTTAATCGAAACATAACATTAGTTAGTAGTGACAATTTTTATTATACAATTTTTTAAAATTTTTGTTGTAATATTTTTGGACAGATCTTACAAATATACATCTCATAAATAATATCAATACTTCTCATTTTGATCTAAAATTGATTAATCAAAATTTTTTTTACAGTTTTAAGAAATATTAATAATTACATTATCTAATTAATTCTTTTGTAAGATAAATTTTCAACATTGACAAACCCGCGCAAAGCGCGGGACACATACTAGTAAAAGTAAAATTAAATAGGACTCCAAAGATAGTACACACCATGTAAATCACTTTTATACTTACGCCAACACATTTACAGATTTGCTGTATTTAAAAGTGCCGGCCGGCCACGTATTGCCGTCTTGTAAAAACTAAAAACTAGGCTCTCTTCTTTCTTTCCTTCCTTTTTTTTTTTTTTTTTTGAATAATATTACTAATTATAATATTCTCGATAACCTAAATGCTGTACTAACGTACAGCGTAGTTGGTTGATACTTGTTGGTAGGTAGAAAATGAGGATAAAAAAGTATATTCCTCATAAGCTCCGGCAGAGACGAATTGGTACTCTGAATCCTTTGTTGTTTTACGCACGTTTAAGAACTACATTAACCATTTTCAAAAAAAAGAAAAAAAGAACTCCATTAACTTCTCTATCAAAAATAAAAAATAAAAAATTTTAAGTTGTACCTTTGATGCCCTCACTATAGCTGATAGTATTTGATGTATTCTTTAAGTCTAAAAATGATTATTCAGTTTGAATATTTTTTTAAAAAATAAAATATCAAACGAGATATTCATTTCGAAAGAAAAGAGTATAAAACTTACAGATGTAAAGTGAAAAAAAAATGTAAGTTTTTAAGTTTGTGAAAAGAAGACTGAAAACTAAAATGATCATTTACATTAAACTAAATATACATTTTGATTTTTTACATTTTTATTTGTGTACTTATTTTGGTCCTTTGGCATTATTCTAACAGTTTGACCATATTAATATTCAATTCAAGAGGGGTATTTTAAGAATAAAAATATTTATTTTCCAAAAGAAGTTAATGTTGAATAATACATTAATATAAATATTAAAATAATTATAATCATAAAAAGAATAAGAATTAAAAAAAATATTGAATTACTTAAAAATTCAAAAAATTAATTTTTAAAATTAAAATGAAAATTAATAAAAAAATTGTACCTTATTGGCACAAATTTTGTATTATTTTTAATTTGGTGGACTAGAGATAAAGTAAAAAATATTTATGTTTGGAAGGTTTTTTGAGTGTGTTTTTTTGTATTGGGAATGTAAAAAGATGTATTGAAAATATAAAAAGGTGTATTGAAAATGTAAAAAGGTGCATTAAAAATGTAAAAAAGTATGCTGAGATGGGCTAGATATTAATAAAAAATTCTGAAAAAATCATCCAAAAAAGGAACCAAACAGAGACTTTTCTGACAATTTCAAATATTTAAAATAATTAAATTAAAAATTAAAATTAAATTTTAAAATCTATTTTTTAATTAATGTAATTGTAGGAAACTATATTTACATTAACGTCGATTCCTCAAAAAAATCATCTTGAGTTTCTTCATTGTTTTGCTTGTCCCAATTTATGGACTGAAAAATTATTATTTAATAGAGATTATATATATATATATATATATATGAGTGTAATTATGGAGGTTTTCCTGTGTTGAGAAAGGTAATAATGTAAATATTAAAATAACATTAAATTAACAAAATAACTAAAAATAATAAAATTATTAAAATATTATTTTTCAGAAATTTATGTACTTTTCTTTATAAAATACTAAATTATGAAATTGCTTACAATTGTACAAGATTTAGAATTATTTTTAATAAAATATTATATAAAAGACTAAAATATAAAATTGTTTACAATTTCAAAAAATTAGTCCTTTTAAAAGACATAAATTTTGTAATTTCAAAATAATATTTAATTAATTTTGATATTATCAACTATTTTTTAATAAAGTTGGATCCCGATTTGGAGGGTTCAAATGAGCGTCAAGAATTTTATTGATAGATACTATTTGGGACGAAAATTCCACAGTGATGGGTTTGGGTTTATAAAATGGTTGAAAAAAGTTTTTTTTTAAAAGTATACTTTGAAAATATGTTTTATTAATTTAATATTTTCTTATTTTTTGATTTCAAATTTGTATTATTTTAATATTATTTTATTCAATATTGAATTTTTAAAAATCATAAATATTTTTTATTCTGAAAATTCCCTTATTGACTTGAACCAAATATGGTCAAACTCCTAAAATAGTACCCAAGGACTAAAAAAAGTTACAAACAAAAATATAGAGGACCATTTTAGTCGAATGTTAATGCCGATGACCAAACTGTGTATTTAGTCTAATGTAAAACACATTTTCGGATTTTAGCCAAAAAAGAAACATGGTACAAAACTATACATTATTGTATAGCGGGGAGGGGTAATCAGTCGTTCTCCTAACTCCTAAGTCTATTAAACATTTACATATTTGCCTCTTAAATTTCTCTAACAATATTCTCCAATGAATTTAATTTTGTTCGCTCACATGTTTATTACAGATTGAGTTTCAAAATGATAGTCATATTTGTCATAAAATTGGAGTTACATTTATTGATTTGAAATGGTATAAGCATACATAACTCTCTCCGTCCCAAAATTATTGTCCAGTTTGAATTTTCACTTTTAGTTCAAATTATACTAGAAATAAAAATCTAAACTGGACAATAATTATGGGATGGAGGGAGTAGTTATTTCATGTATAATCAACAATAACTAAATTAAATTGGGATTTAAGCTTTGGATATTATGGGAGAGAAGTACTAGTCGAAGTAATTGCACCACGCGTCGTCATGCCATTTAGTTTAAACTTTTAACCTAGTAAATGTAATGATGAAATGATGTAATTTTTGTGGAGAGCAAAATAACTGCTCCCTCTATATTAATCCATAGTTGTAACAACTAAAATTTTTTAGAGTTGGACGACTTAGGAGACTTATGGCATTGAACAATTGCGATAAAACTGGTAAATAAACCTGATATATATTCTCCACCCATTACATACTATTTATATCTCGATTTCTATGACTAAAGCGGTATGATTTCTAAAATTCAGTTTTTGGGAGGGAGGTAATCAGGATTTAAACACACTGTGTACATTTTCCATACATTATCGGAAAAATCATAAATTATTTTGTATATAAAAAAAAAAATACTTCATTTGTCCCAAAATTATTATCCAGTTTGAGATTTCACTTTTAGTACAATTTGAACTAGAAATAAAAACTCAAACTTGACAATAATTATGGGACGGAGGGAGTACAAACTAAAAGCAAGATTCACAACTAATAAAGACAAAAATTAGTCCTAACTCTATGAATTAAGTAAAACTAAAAGGAAGAGTTATAACTAATAAAGATAACTTGTTCAAAAAGAAACCCTTGACTCATTGAACCACATACGGTACACTTTATTTCTGAAATGATTAAACCGTATTCTGAATTTTCTTTTTAATGCACCTATTCAATCTTTTAAAAATATCGTCGTAAGCGACCAACGTTGTTTTAACAATGAAGAAGTCATAATTATCTGCCAGTACCAATATCGGTGTGATGTATTTGCAATTTGTATGGATTATTTAAAACTTTGACTCCATCATTATTATATATTTCGGCCCTTTACTTACTAGTTTTTATGTTTATTACAAAATTATAAATCACAAAATTGAAACAAAAACTCTATATAGTACAGAAGCCCATGGAGTTCTACCTCAAAATCAATTGGCTATGAAGGGAGTAACATATGGAGCTTATATATTGATATTCAGAGTCTCCCAACAACGATGTGGGATTAGGACTCTTTAATACTTCCCAGCAAGCACAACTTATTTTTTGGGTTGGGCTTATCCTATTTTTTTCAACTCAGGCACCGCCTCACGTCTCAACCCTATTTTTTTGTAGGATTTTTTAAAGTCCGAATGTCGGCAGTCTAGCTCTGATACCATACAAAATCTCATGGAATTCTAACTCAAAACCAATTGGCCATGAGGGAAGTAACATATGGAGCTTATATATTGATATTCAAAGTCTCCTAACAACGATGTGAGATTGAGACTCTTTAATATATAGGGCCTCTGTGGTGCATGCACCTGTTGAACCTAATCTTCTGACCTTTTGATGAATGAAAAGGACAAATTGCCTAAATGAATTATCATCTGGTTCTCCCTTCCCCACGTTATGATTTAAGTGCCAGTTTAAAAAAATGTATATGAGATATTCCAAAATATAAGTATCATTATTAATTTTTTTAATAAATTTTTTGTCAATTTTCCCCAGAATTATTGATATAAAAAGGACATTAATTAATGGTGAAAAATATAGATAGTTGTCATAGTGGGAATACTGCTTAAACTATATACGAAATTTGTGTGACGGGATTGATGGAGAAATTACAAAATAATTCAGGAAAAATCAATTTGTAGTCGCGAAAGGTCCTTTTTTTTTTTAACTCTTTTACCTGGATCACTACCTAATAATACAAACAAGTATAAGTTTTAGTGAATATTGAAATTTGTAATAATCATAACGTACGTAGTAAAAATGCACTTTTTCAGGTTTTGCCGTTGTTATTTTGTTTAAATTTTAAAATTCTATTTCTTGTATTGATTTATTTATTGAAACTTTTTTTTTTCTAATAGTTAAAATAAATGCAAACTTAACAAGAAAAAGTGAATATTCATAATTAAAAAGATTTTAGAGAAATAAATATCATATAGGCGTCAATCAATAGCAATACAAATTCAAAAGTTCTTACTAGTAATTGAATAGTTTTACATTGAATGCTTTAGAACAATGTCACATAGAATAATGTTACTTGCACCAACTCTCTTTAACTAATTAAGTACCCTCTCAATTTTGCACCAAAGTTTAAAAAGCAAAATAATTTATGAAATTGGCCGACCCCAAATGCATCATCATCTTTTCACTTCCATGGCCATTTGGCCTCTCTCCAAATGAAACTGTGAGAATGAGTCTTCACAGCAACATGAGATGTACCAATATTAATAGTTTCAGTTTCAGCTTGCTTTCCAACTGACTGATTCCCTTGAATTTTATTGTCACGAAACACACATTGTTCTCTGTAGTTCGGATTCTTATATTTTGGATGTTCGAAAAAGTGAAGCCCTTTCCACCATAGCTGAAGAGCCTGTAAATTATTACATAACAACATTTCAAGGTCAGTTTGACAACTATATATTAAACTCATAAATAATTTTATATATCTTCTTTTCCTGCTTTAATTAGTGACAAGATGAACAAATTTCATGACAACAACACTTACTTGCCAATAAATCCAAATGACAACTTTATGAGGCATTAACCAGCAGAACAAGTAAGGGTCCGTCGCAACTTTGTCCGAGACTTTTCTGAGCTTCAATATGGCCGTCATATAATTACCTAGCTCCGGATGTTTTGCACCCACCGTCACCGTTATGTTGTCTTCTGGCGCGGTTGTTCTCATACTCCAGTTCCCAAACATATCCTGAAAGTGATCAAAATCATCCCATAAGTTCATAAAAGCAAATGCTAGCTATAAATAAGTTTGACCAGTATACAAAGTGAAATACGATGATAAAGTGAATTATTTTTATGTTACGTTAGCTGTGGGATCGTTTAACTCGACTTACCATAAAAGGACTGACTTGAAGTGTCTTTGCAACTGTGTCAACCGAATGAGGATCAAACGAAAATGACACTCTTTCACCCCATGGCGTATTAGTAACCTGAAAGAAAGAAATTATTTTGATTTTAGATTGAGAATAGTACTGTAACCAGCTATTGACAAATTAAGTCCGTCATTAATTAGAGAAATACGTATATATATTACCTCAACAATGCATCTTTTTAACTTGGTTGATGAGCCCTCGACGTCGTAGCAGTAAAACAAGCTTACTGGATTCTGTTCATATCCCACACTTGCTGGTATGGTCAACAATAGCCTAATATATACATCAACGAAAACTATCAGGAAATCGGAAGTTCATTACGTGCACGAAAAAATCTATAAAAATCGAAAGACAGACATTACATGTGAGATATTAACATTGTAGCTAAAAGATTGATTTTGAAAATAATTATTTATGTACACTGGTCCATTGGTTTCGCATATTTGGCGAGCTTCATCGGCGGAGAAATGGTTCGGGGGCACATTGGTAGCGTGATCTAGGTCGAAGAGAGCGTAACGGACAGGATACCAAAAATAATGGCGAACAGGATGTCTACGTTCATGAGAGACAGTGCCTTCATATAGTGAAACATACTCACTTGTATGTTTGGCGCCAGACGGGAGGAGAAGACGGCGGAGGAAGAGGACGATGGAGAGGATGAAGGAAGTAGTTGAAGTAAAGATGATGGAGCCAAGAAAGTAGAAGACCTCCATGATCTCTAATTTCTATAACTCTATTGTTGTTGGGGATGTATTGCATCTTGGAAGCTTAGAGCTTTTTATAGACCAAGTTTCAGTCTCTACTCTAGATGGTTCGTCATCAACACGGTTGTTAGCCTTAGACATAAAAAAAAAAAAAAAATTGAGGTCATATTTTACTTAGATACGGTTGTTACACATTCATATAAGTACTTTATTTAGTTGACATATCTATAAGGATTGTTACACATTCGTAAAAGTACTTATTTAGTTGACATATCTATTACAAGGATTAACGCATTGAAGTAATTATTATTGTTACAACAATTAATTGCAACTCAATAATTTAAGGAGTTACCAAAGGAAAGAAACAAATGGAAATTTCCTTTGGCCTCATTAAGCAGAAAACCACTAATTGGATAATTAACCTACCTGTTCAACTCAAGCTGGTTTACGTTTTTCTATCACCTTTATCTTGAAACTCAGCATTTCATGATTGGATTATTGGATTCAGTTAATTATGGAGATTATATTGCCTAAAAAACGAATGATACAATTATATATTCTCAACTTTTACTGAGATTAAATTTTTTTTTTAAAAAAAAAAGTGGATCTGAAAATTTTCAATATCATGACTGTGTGTAAGAGTTGTACACAAGAAATTTCTAGTACATGTTTTATTTTCAATTAGAATACCTATTTCAGAATTTCATTATGCTTTCCGTTGTACAAAATAATATGAAAAACGCTTTTCAAAAGAAAAAATTGATAGATCAATTTGTTTTAAACAAAATAAACGAAATGGAAAGAAATAGGAAGCTTGTGATAGATATCATCTTTGCGTACTAAATAGGTCTATCTTAATTTGTGTCTATTAGTTCTATTATTAATTTATTATTAATCATTCCATCTCACAAAGTTAATTCATATTGAGTTTTGAGATTTGTGGATTATTTTTCTAGACGGAGAAAGTTTTTTTTTATTATTATTTTATAGTCTACCACTTTTGTATCGAAAGGTAATCATTTCTTTAGTAGTTAAGTTTCGAACTTCTTCGTTGGACTAGGTTTTATCGTAATCCATAAAAAAAGTCGGGTATGACTGCTCTAAAATAAAGTTTGTGATAGCGACCCTAAGAAGAGTGGTGAGTTTGTTTAAGCAGTTCGTATTTACGTTTTCCTGCGAGGAAGGATTGGAAATACTACTAAAATTAAGTAGTGATGACTGATGATCGAGAAGAGTTTTACTGTTCTACACATGATTATAAGTGATATTGGACATCATTTGTTCAATTGAATATTGTAAAATGTAAATGCTAAACAGCGTAGACCGCATAATTTCTTAAATTAATTAGCGACTTATGATGTTTGTTTACGGCTTAATAATGGAATATTTTAAGAAAAGAAAACTTGTTGCATATGCAAATTGGTGGCGGCTATTGGTTTGATTGGTCCGTCTCAATTCTCATCAGTTCTCATCAATGAAAATACATAGTCAAATCTACGTAGGTAGTAGCAGATGAAAAGTGCTGATGCCAGTGCTGTGTTTGTTTAAGGTATTGTTGAAATATTTCTTTCTTTTTCTTTAGTGCCTAAATATTACAATTTGAAATATTTCTTTAGTTCCTAACCCGGTTTTCTTCGAAAGAGTCATAGAAAATTGAGAAAAGAAAAAGTATAGAAACCCTCCTCATACCCTCTTCGATCCATCTCATTCCCATAACTTATCTCTAATCACACTCTTTGGGTGTTTCTTTTGAAGAAGGAAAACCGAGTTTTATACTCTAGCAGAACAAGTTCAGGATGTCATCACCTTCTATATTTCAAGAGTATTTAAGTTGCTTATTTTATTTTTACGTTTTGCTTAATCTTTAATTCTCATATTATAATACTAGTGTTTACCCTGTACGTTGCACATGAAATATATAAATAGGTGTAAAATGTGTTCGGTTGGGAGATGTGTGATTAATTTATACTCGTTAAATATTATTACCCCAGTCCCAAAAAAATCGTACACATTGAATTTTTAAATTTGTACTATTTTTAACAAAAATATCAAAACTCAATGTGGACTATTTTTGTGGGACGGAGGGAGTAATAAAGTTTAATGCAGTTTAACTATTAGTAACTGGATTAAATTTCAAATTTTAAAAGAAAGACAATAGAGTTTAACTATTAAGTTTTTTTTTTAAAAAATTTTTTTTGAAAAGTTTTAAGTAATAAAATATTCACTAATAATTATTAAATTATGAAATAGTCAGTAAACTTTGAGATATTATTAAAACATGGAAAAATATTAAAAATAAAAAATAATCATATTGTTTTTTGGTTTGGTCCTTCGTAAATTTTATAAGTTATTTTCATAACAGATATACTTAAATTTCATATTTAAAATTGTTTCAAAAAAAATTATCATTCATTTTTACCTTTGAAACAATTAACTATAATCTTATCAACTTCCCAAATTTAATTAATTCTTAACAAATTATTTAAATTCTCACATGCTGCTTGTGTTATATATAACTAATTTTATATGAGATTATCATATTTAGTTAATCTTACTATATATCAAGGGAATTTTTTTCAAAAGACACATTTAGTCAGTTAGACCATCGATAATCTTTAAGTGCACTCAACTTTTCATTAGTTAAGTTTGTTATGCTGTACACATGTCATAGTCTAATTCGTGAATTTTTTTAATGGGATATTTTATACAAGTAATATGGTTATTTTAAACAGTTAAATTAGTTATTTTCTCTTAAAAAATAACTTTCTTCAAATCATCAAATTGACGGGAAAATATCTCTGTCCACAAACATCTCCGGACATGCCAGTTTCAAATTTGACTTCATCACAGCTCATCTCCGCCTGAATTCCGAATCATCAAACTGACTGGAAAACAATCTCGAAATATATATATATATATATAGAGGAAACAATCTCCGAATCATCGAACTGACTAGGAAAATATCTCCGGCCACAACGATCTTCGGAACGCCAATTACAAAAGATGAAGGCACTTACAACGGTCAGAGTATTCAACGGCATCTCAAGGAAAATGCTTCTGCATGAAATTTTACAAAAAATTGCAAGACAAAACATCAACGGCCGACTGTCCAGGACACTGGCCAAAATGGAGTTCAGGAGGGAAGAGATGATGAATCCAAAATTATCGATGCAATCCTTCGAAATTTTGTCATTCCATGAACCACAGCCATCTTCCATAATTTTCGCAAATTATGAATTTTATATTGGGCCAAGTTTGAACGAATAATACCCGATTTTTTTTTCCAAATTTACAAACCTGATTCGCTTTACGTATTGATATTTTAAGACTGTATTGAAGGAATTTATTCCTTTTAAATATTTAGAGATAAGATACTTATTGAGAATCACAATTAGTGTAGGAAACTATCTTTCGAGATAAGATTTAGGACTTTTATATGTAATAAATTTGACCGTGAATTACCATGATTGATGCACCATTTTTGTCTGTAATTAGGACTATTTCCAAATGGGATGAGATTAGTTATTAATTCAAAAGATCGGTTATCAATGAAAATTATCTTTAACTATCTCTCCTACAAAGATTTGATAAGTTTATTGAAATATCAACCTAATTATAGGACCTTCTGAAAATTAGTTGAACTTATTGAAAATTTAAAAACCGAATTGTATGAGTTTGTTGAAACTCTTGATCTTATCCCTTCTATTAAATACATAAAGATGATTTCTTTCTCTGGAAACCCTAATAGATTAAATCTTCGGTGCTATAAATACCAAATAAGCGAGAGTCTCACATGCCTCATACAGAATCACACAAACAACTATTTTAGATTATTCGCATGAATTTTAATGATTTCAAAATTTCGGTGGTCTTTGTGGTGGAAAATTGAGATGCCTGTTTGTTTGTGCGAATTGAAGTGTTTGTTTGGTCTGAATATTGGCTTCACGTTCACGGTTCTATTTGAGTTACGCATCCATCATTTATTTGTTTAATTAGTTTATTAATTAAATGCTGTTGAATTATTTTTTGCGGTTGATCAATTGATCAATTTATTGCACACGTTCCTGAATCCTGAGTTTGTTTTTTTGCGTTTGTGATGATCATGGTCAAATTTATAAAAGTGATATGCATCTCATGGAAGTGTTTCAATGGTAAATTACGAAGTATAAAGTTTTTGTACGTAGTGTTGTTTTCCTTCGAATCATGTGTACTTTTTTTTTCATCAGACATATAAGTGCTACTTACAGGAAAGCCTTGGCAACTATATATGTTCAATGGGCATATTGTTAAAAATTATGAATCCGTTTTTGGGCTAAAGGAAGTGTCGGCGATTGCAGGTGATCAATTACATAAATGAGTATGGTGAATTCATGGATGATTTTGATAATTTCAGGATATGTTTGAGAATTGGAGTATGAAAACAACCGCGCCAGATGAAGACAACATAACGGTGACGGTGCAGGGGTGTACAACATCCTGAACTAGGTGATTACATGACGGCCATATTGAAAGCTCAGAAAAGTCTCATTTGGATTTATTGGCAAATAGTAGTACTTTTGTTTGTCATGAAAATTTGTGAATGTTATCACAAATTAAAGCAGAGACAAAGACGACCCTTTTTGAGTTTAATTTGCCAAACTGACCTTTACACGTGGTTACGTAATTTACAGGCTCTTCAGCTATGGTAGAAAAAACTTCGCTTCTTCAAACATCTAAAATATAAAAATGTATGTTGGGATATGACAGTTATTATTAAAATAATCTGAAAAAACCATCCAAAAAACCAAACAAACTGAGGAATCCAAACTGTAGGGAACAATGTGTGTTTTGTGACAATAAAATTCAAGGAAGTTGGAAAGCAAGCTGAAACTGTAACTATAATTATTTTACGTCTTATGTTGCTGTAAAAACTCATTTCCACATCTTTGTTTGGAGAGACGCCAAATGGCATGGAAGTGAAAGATGACTATCCATTTGGGGTATCCAAATTTTCATCGTAGAATTGCCAAATGGCAAGCTATCGAAATTAGCAAAGGAAGTGGATTGTTAAAACATCCGTGACAATGTTTTATCTCGCTGCATATCCATAATTACAACACTCTAGTTGACACGAGTAATGGTGACTAATCTCTCTCGCTAAATTGTAGGTACCTCAATGAGTAAGACAGCTGGGCAAAATATTTAAGGTTGTTCCATACTCATAGCGAGGTTCGAACCCTCGACCTATGGTTAAGGGAAGGGTGGAGGAATTCCTTCCACTCTACCACAACCAATTTGATTACATTTTAAAAGTAGTCCATAAGAAATTTTCTAAAAAAAGAAAAAAGAAAGCCCGTACGAGAAATACACAAACATAATATGGGCCTAGTGGGCTATTTTACAGGCCCAATTTTAAGAGCGTCATTACGACGCTTAAGCAGAAAAAAACATTTTTCCGAAAATTCAATAGTTTCTGTCTTCTTCACACGGTCGGAGTAACTTTAGGGCAGTTCCCGCCCTGTATTTCTTCCCGTTTAATTCATTACTGCTTCTTTTCTCTTCTCTTCCGAATCATTGTTCTGTATTTCTCTGCAAATTCCTCAATGCTTTTGTCAAGAACTGAGAGAAATTAAGCTCTGAGTTAACAGTTGAGAGGAAAAATCACCGGCAATGGTTTCTCCCAAGCAGCTGTTGTCGATAGTGGAAGAGTCGTTGCTCGGCCCAAACCCGCCGACGCCGTCTCAGAGGGTTGAACTCATTCATGCCATACGACAATCACTTCCTTCTCTCCGTTCCCTGCTTTCCTATCCTGTAAGTAACCTTTAATTTCAGCAAAGAAAAAACCAGTAGAGCACCCACCCGCCATATTATACAGTCTTCTCAGTTGGACTACTAGGAAGTTAGTTAGGATTCGCTGATGTTTCCCATATCGTTCTTTGAGAATGATATTGATAAGGAATTATGGGATAATCGTTTAACTTTTTGTTATTGTTTTTTTGGTGTTGGTAATTTTGATTTCAGACTCCAAAACCCTCGGACCGAGCACAAGTGCAGGCTAAACAAGTCAGACTTCAGGATTCTGGAACCGTCACGCTTGACGATCAAGATGTTCAAATTGTTAGTATCTTTAATTTCAAAATTTCAGTGGAGATTGTTTGAGTTTGTTCTTATTTCTGTGGGGGAAAAAAAGGTTTAAGGTTTCTGAGTAAAGTAACAGAACTTGCAGCTCAATTTATTTAACATTTACATTGTCATCTTGAACATTCTCTAATCATCCATGATGCTGAGTCCCATCTTTCTTGAAATTATGAATTTCCAATAAATATTAGTAAGCTGTATAATCCAAAATGACATGCATCCTTTGCATGGTTTCTCACTGGGGCTTCTGTGGAAGATACTACATAGTTGGACAAAGTTGTTGATGTAGATAGGTTCCTTCAGGCCGTGTGATTTTATCATTGATCTCCTCTCAACCCTTTTTGTTTGCATTGCTTATATCAACTTTGTACTTTAAGATTAGTTATTCTGTCTACGTGCTTAATGTGTGTCTTCTTAAGTATCTTGCTTTAACCCTTCCTAACAAAGCTGACATTGTTTGGTTGCCTGTACCGTCCTGATTGATGATTTATTATATTGGCTTCAGTTTTCTTCCAATCACAATGTTATTGTCTTAGTTTGTTTATATATTTTTTGTCTTGTGATTGTTGAACTTGCAGTTTATAGCTTTTGCTACTCGTCATGTTATTATCGGCTTTTTGATTGTTGATTTGCTCTTTTTGGTTTGTCCAGGCCATTAAACTAAGTGACGATCTCCATCTAAACGAAATTGATTGTGTTCGCTTGCTAGTGAATGCTAATCAAGAGGTGGACCACTTTTGTTTCATTTCATTGTTTTGCATTGCATTATGCTTTGGCATTTGTTTTTTTAAGTTAGGATGTTTGCTGACCTATGTGAACCTTATACCATCTAGTGGAGCCTACTTGGGAGAGACCCCCTAGAGATTATGAGACTTGCATCGGGACTCTGGTACACTGAGAGGAGGGATCTTATAACAGCACTTTATACTCTGTTACGGGTAAATTTGGTTTCATAAAATTTATCTCCTTTTCGCTCTCCAGTTTCTCCCTCTTGATATAGTGATTTAGGAAAGTCATATGTTCTTCTTTTGCAGGCTGTTGTTCTTGACCAAGGGCTTGACGTTGATCTTTTGGCTGATGTTCAAAGATACTTGGAAGACCTAATTACTGGTGGAGTTAGACAACGTTTGTTATCACTGATAAAGGTTTTTATATGGCGTGTTTAATCCTCTTTTGTTCTTTTCAATGAGAAAATTGGCAAATGGTTATCCAGAGTTCAGTATTCATGGAGAAAAAATTGGCACGATACTTGTTTTATTCATGGCCATTAGAGCACTTTTGTAGGCTACTTAACAGTTTATAGTGGGTGCATAAAGTTTGAATATATTTTGATAAGTTGAATTTTTGGGACTGTTTAACCCCCCCAACCCAAAAGAAAACCCTCAAATAAGCTGTTCCACTGGTCTGTTCATAAAACCTTATTGCAGTTACAAGTTCATTCTCCCAGCATTCTCATCATCCTATTGTTTCACTGATTATAGGAGCTAAGTCGGGAAGAGCCTGCTGGCTTGGGTGGGCCTAATTCAGAGCCCTATGTCATTGACTCAAAGGGTGCTATCGTGGAACGCCGAGCTGTGGTTTGTAGAGAGAGACTCATTCTCGGTCAATGCCTTGTGCTTTCTGCACTGGTCGTGCAGACAGGTCTGATATAGTTTACCATTTTGTTTTCTTTTAATATATGCAGAAGTGCTTCCCAGTATAATTCCAACGCTGTTGCTTGTCTTGCTTTATTTTTCTGTGATGTTTTGGCTCTGATTAGTCTGTAAATTCTGAGAGTTACTTAAACCTTTGCATTTGACTACCTTGTTAGCCGTTTTATTTGAGAGGATTCATCAGTCTAAGAAATATTAAAGACAGGGTACGTCATTACTCGATTGCTAGTTGCTCTGGAAGAGTGAGTTCTTTTAGTTGACGTGCTTACGGAGCCCCTACGGTGTCTAGATGATACATAGTTTTGCCAAATGTCCCCAATACATGGAATTAAATGCTGGATTAACTTTTGTTGCTGGTTTATTCAACATTTGTGAGTTGTCATCTTGTGTACTCTTTGTGCATACATGGGTATTTTCTTTTCTTTTTGTTGTATGTTCTTTTGTTGGTGTGGAAGCCTGGTTGCTATTTTGAAGGTACTATGAGCTATTGATTGCCATGTACCTAGATTAACTTTCATCATTTTAGGTATTGGGGGTCTCAAATGGGTCCCCCTCACAAACCAAATGGCCTGAGTGAGTAGTTTAAATGAGAGTATATGATGATACCTTGTATCTCGTCGTTGCAGGTCCGAAAGATGTGAAAGACATGTTCTCTGCCTTAAAAGATTGTGCTGAACACTTTGCCGAAAGCCCTGAAGTTCTAAAGCATCAGGTGTGGACTTTGCTTCCATAGTGATTATATTGTCCTTTCAAGCTTCTGAATAACTGCTTTTGTTTGTGTGTGTTTACATGCATGCCTATATAACTTCTTTTAAATCTGAAGATTTGGATATTACTTGCTAGTTTTCCAAAGTTGTCTTAACGGAAGATGTGCGATCTCGGTTTTGGACTCCGTCTTTTAGGTTCTTGTAGGGCCATAAAACATTTTCCTAAATATTACATATTGGAGTCTTACTGTTATTACTTAATCTAGATATGTCATCTAGTTAATTTGTATGCCATGGATGGAAGTGGTAGTTCAGGAAGTGGATTGTATTTTCTTTTGCAATCAGTAGATCTAGGCTAGCTAGAGTTTCTAATGGGTTGTGCAGCTTTAATCAGACTTGTACCTGATGTTACAATTTGCATATCTAAAAGGTGCTTCCAACATAATTTATTTTCCTTCTTTGCCGCTATGCTGTATTTATTGGTATATTGCCTTTATGTTGGCATGTCTATAGTATTCATCTAAATTTTGTTGTCTGTGGTTGTGGACAAGATTGTAAGCATTTCTGTGCCAAAAAAAAAAAGAAGCAGATATGAGTGTCTTATTTGGTTGGGTTTGCCGTTCATGATATGTTGATGTTGGGATGGCGTACTGTGAGTTAGAGTATGTCGTTTGTTTGCACTCGTGGACGGACATCAACAACTTAAAATTTGAGCATAAACAGTGTCTGTTCCCTTGGAATCTTTGATTATTTTCGGATTTGTTACCTTCATGATAAATGCTTGCAATTCTTTTACTTTCAGGTTATATACAGCATTCTTTTCGCTGTTGTGATTGCTCTCGTTTCAGATGCATTGAGCACATCACCTGAGGCTATATTGTCTCGTGATCCTTTATTTAGAAATGAGTTCCAGAAAAGTGTAAGCTACATTATGATTTCTTTTTTTGGTTTAAATGCTGAACTAATTTGTGCATTTATTGAGTTGCTGTGATGCTTCATGATAGGTAATGGCGGCTGGAAATAATCCTGTTGTCGAGGGCTTTGTAGATTGCGTAAGATTTGCTTGGGCTGTGCATATGATGTTAACACAAGATGCACTTGAGGGAAAGGAGACATCTGATTCTTCGTCTAATTACATTCAATACATTTCTTCGTGTTTGGAAGTCATTTTCTCCAAAAATGTTTTTCATTTTTGGCTGGATAAGGTTCTCCGAACAGCAGCTTTTCAGGTCTTTTGACTTCTATATTTGTTGTTTAAACGTTTTTTTTTTTTTTGGGGCTCTAATGAAGCAACACTGTTGTTCTTGTTATGGTGAATCTATTCCACTTGAGCATCCCAGTACTATCCAACATCTTTTACCTTCTTTTTGGCCATCTATCACACTTTTCCTGCTTTTGTCATTCATGTTATGATTCTGACATCTGTTGTACTCATTTCTGTTCGGTTCCATGAATGTTTTCTTCGCCTGAGTATGCGGATAAGGTGTAGAAGAATGTTACAAGTAACAAAATTATTTGGAATACCAGTAACACTTAGTAGTGCCTAATAATATTGTCATCTATGACTTCGGAACTGGAAGAATTATGTTGAGAATCAACTTTTTGAAGCTGAAAGTGATTTGTGAGAGTTCAGGAGAGAGGTCCCATATACATATATGAATGCACCAATTCGGAATTAGCCACCAAATTTGTACCGTTTCTGATCAAGTTAGGAACTAGGAATGCTCCACATTAAGTAGGTGACTCATTCTTCATGTTTGGGACTATATCATATCATCGGAAAGCCATCGTTATGATCACTGCTTTTATTTTGGATTCTTTGTTGTTAGCTAGGGATGCTATTTTATGCCTGAATTTTCATATTGAGTGATTTATTTTGATCTTTTCAATGATAATACTGAATTTGGTCTACAATTTGCAAATGTTGCTACATTCTCCTTTGAAATTTATACTTCCTTGGACTATGGAGTTTCAATGCGTACAGCCTAGTTTTTCTATTTATATGCTTATCTTTTGTGGTTCTGTTATCTGTTGCAGAATGATGATGAGGATATGATCTACATGTACGATGCATATCTTCACAAAATGGTCACATGTTTCCTTTCACATCCTCTAGCTAGAGAAAAGGTATAACTTTTGTTTCATACTTCGCTAGAGAAATTCTATGAGCATTTCCCTATTTGTCTTACAAATGTGCTCTTCATGGCTTTAAATGGTAGGTTAAAGAAGCAAAAGAAATTGCTATGAGAACACTTAGTACATACCGGCAGACTTCACATAACTTTATGGTGGATGGTGGTGCCAATTTGCAACATCCTGCAGAAACATCTCAATCTTTTGTGGGCTTGCTGGAGTTTGTGAGTGAAATCTATCAGGTATTGTGTTTTGTTTTTCTGTGGGGTTTCCTTTTCGTTTTGAAAAATTGTAATTGAATTTTTGTTTCGAAATTAGTCCCCCTGAAAAGTATCTGTAGACGGGCTTCTATTCTCTTGGCTTTGTGCTTGTGAATTTTTTGATTGTATTGATTGGTTGAGTTTTTAAAGGAATCCGGTTTCTGGAGTAGACGTGGTTTTATCAGTCTGAAATTTAGGATCGTTGACCTTTAATATTTGGATCAAAAGTTAACAATTGAAATTTTGGAGGATATAAAGGTTGGGACTCTCTGCATTTGATCATAGATCAAATAACATCAACTGAAAGATGACCTTTACTCGGACTTCCTAAATTGTTTGCTTTGACAATGCTGTAAACATGTCCTGTTTTTCCTAGAGATTGTATCATGCTTAATATCTTCTTTGATTCTGCTCTTGTCCTGTCTTTCGTTTTAGCGAGAACCTGAGCTGCTGTCGGGAAATGATGTCCTATGGACCTTTGTCAACTTTGCTGGAGAGGATCATACTAATTTCCATACATTAGTTGCATTCTTGAAAATGCTGAGCACCTTGGTATGTTTGTCATCTTTTCCTCTCGTATGATTAGAAATGTCAAAGGTCCGAATTTAAATTGGTAATTTTGTTTGGCTCAGGCTTCTAATCCAGAAGGTGCGTCGAAAGTCTTTGAATTGCTTCAGGGGAAAGCATTTCGGTCTATTGGATGGAGCACTTTATTTGACTGTTTGTCGATATATGAGGAAAAGTTTAAGCAGTCCCTTCAGAGTCCTGGAGCTTCATTACCAGAATTTCAAGAAGGAGATGCAAAAGCTCTTGTTGCATATCTGACAGTTTTGCAAAAGGTGATGCTCTTTCAACCTTCCTAATTTGTTGCTTTATATTTTTTCATCACCAATATAAATACAGTAAATCTTGTGGTTTTGGTTACGTGTAGTCTAGCTCTCCATTTTATATTTGCTCGGGCTTTGACATCATCTGTATCTTTTGGTTCTTGGGTCATGTTTGTTTCCAGAATGCAAAGACTAATACTGGAGAAAGTTTTTTTAACTGGGTCGTATAATGCTATTATCCTCTTATTGTATCGACATTGGTTTGAATGTATTCAAAAGCCTTATTAATGCCGAGGACAAAAACGACTACCAATGGATTGGTTTTTTTTTTTTTTCCACTCTGAATATATCATATAACCACTTAATACTTAAATTATTCTCAAGTATCTTATGTTATTGGTTATCATATTCCTCCGTGATGAGTGTGAAGCTGATCGGCAACTGTCCATGATCAATTGCCATTTGATTCTGTAATAGGGAAATGGAAGATCTGTATCTCAGTTCTTACTGGCTTTTGGTTTCTGCTTTTTCTTAGTGGCTTTAGTAAAGTGTAGTGAACTGTAACCGTAGCTAGCAGTTTGACTCTCAATGGGTGATTGTTTCTTTCTGATTCTTTGCATTGGAATAATTTAATTATTTAGTACTGTAATTTTTCGCATCTTTTCTGTCTCAGACATTTTAATTTTAGAAAAGAAGCCATGGAGGTTTTATATGTTCTTGAACCCTTTTTTCGTCATAGATCTATTTTCATCTTTCTACTGATTGGTTACTTGATAAATGGACTCGAGAAAGTTGATTTTGTTTTGTGGTCATCCATTCTTGAATTCCTGCCACTGGGTTGACTTTACTAATGGAAGTTTGACTGTACCTGGGGTTGAACTTCAAGTATTAATGATTTGTTTCCGTTTTATTAGTTGGGGGTTTGAGTTGCATTGTTTAATTGTACCTTACTTAATATATAAAGTTTTCATCTTTAGGTTGCTGATGTTAATAAGCCTAAATCTCTGTTTTATGGTTGCTGGAATATTACATTGTATTTGCTCTTATCGACCGCAAAGAGCTTTCTGTCCTGATGTTGCAGTTCTTATGCAATTTGATCTTTGAATGTCATTAAATTGGAGAATGTTTTCTCTTGATCACGTAGGAAATATGAAACTCACTGGTTCACATTTTGTATTTCAATAAGGTTGTTGAGAATGGGAACCCGGTTGAAAGGAAAAATTGGTTTCCGGATATCGAGCCTCTATTCAAACTCCTTGGTTATGAAAATGTGCCTCCTTATCTGAAGGTTAGTTATGTCTCAGCTCCCCAAAATGTATATGTTGTTCTTATCCTAATTGTACTCTGATCAATAACTACATCACTTCTCTGATGTCCTGATTTTTGCCTCCCTGGTAACTTGTTGTAGGGTGCATTGCGTGACACCATTGCTACGTTTGTTAAAGTTTTCCCGGGTTTGAGAGATGCAGTTTGGACTTATTTAGACCAGTATGATCTCCCTGTTGTTGTTCCTCAGGTTGGAAATAAGATGCAGTCGATGGCCACTCAGGTTGTTTGCTTTTTCTAAACTTGCTTTATGCGTGATGAAATATTTCTAATGTAATCAACATGCTAACTGTATGTTTTGGTGTCTGATTCTTCTTTTGCCGCTGATTCAATCTGTGCGTGGTATATCAACCGTTTCTTGGGTGTTAAGTTTCTTATTCTCTTGCAAAAATAGCTTTTTCAAAATAAATTTTTGGTTTCACCAGAACGCTGGACATAAAGCTATGTTCTTGTGGGTCACAGTTATTTCAATTCTGACAACATAGGTGTTGCTGCATATAGAAGCTTTTATGTCTGGTTGCTCTGGTATGCAGTTATTAGCACATCTAGTTTCTCATTTTTGCAAGAGAGAATCTCTCCTCTCTCTCTCTCTCACACACACACATCAAGACACCTTATGTTGCCAATATTTGCTCACTTTTTTTTTTTCTCTTTTGTTTGTTTTTGGAGTTTTGTTTTCATAATTTTGAGCTCATAAATGTGCTAATTTACTTTGTTGATTAATTTTCATGCCCTATCTTTTAACCAACGGGTTTACTGTTTGCTGATTCACATTGTAGATGTATGATATGCGGTTTGAGTTGAATGAGATTGAAGCTAGAAGAGAGCAATATCCTTCTACTATATCCTTTGTCAACCTTCTGAATACTCTTATTGCAGATGAAAGGGATGTGAGCGACCGGGGGAGAAGGTTTGGTGTTTAACTAGATGAGAAGCTTCTTCTTTTCTTTCCTATATCAGTTATATTTTTATTGATGATGTGTAATATTTAACAGGTTTATCGGCATCTTCAGATTTATTTGTGATCACGTCTTTGGACCCTTTCCACAGAGAGCTTATTTAGATCCGTGTGAGAAATGGCAGCTTGTCGTAGCGTGCCTTCAGCACTTCAGGATGTATGTGTTCCATTCTTAAATTTTGTCTTGCAAGGAAGCTTCAATTATATGCAATGTTATCCTCATGAAAGTTTCTTAATCTTAGGTTCCATATTTTGGTAATTGGCGTATGCATGTTTATTTTATCTTCACATGCTTCATGTTTAGGATACTCGCAATGTATGAGATCAAGGAAGAAGATAGTGAAGCTGTTGACGTATCTCAAAGTTCCGCAGGGGGACAATCTACTCCATTAGAGATGCAGCTTCCCATCATAGAGTTGATGAAAGTATTGATTCCTTTTTATAATTGCACTTCTTCCCTCTTTTTTGTTTATGTTTCTTGTGTTTGCTGCCTTTTGCAGGCTCCTGAACACATTATGAGGTTTTTAAGTGGCCTGGGTTTATGTGATTTGTTTTGATTAAAATTTTGAGGGCGAAATTATTGCTGCTCCCTAGGAATTTTGTGATTCACTTCTCAAGTTTATGCACTAGGCATCGAAAAACTATGCCTTCAATATGCTATAGTCTGGTAGACTTATTGCTGCCAATTGGTGATTCTCAGCTACATAGTTATGTATTATTGTTGATTAGAGTCACTAGTTATTGATTTTAATCAATTTTAACCAAACACGCTAAATGATGATAGTCCCAATGGCTTTGGTCTAACTCTTGTGCTTATAGTAATTGTCAATGGAATCTGATTATGGAATGTTTGTGGTGCACTGTGCTGTTACAAGTGGTAATCCAAGCTATGGAATTTTCTCTTTAAAACAGAATTGTTACCAAAGTTATCTGCTTCTAAGTATCATGTCTGGGTCTTCGCATAAAAATTCTCTCTTTTTTTTTGGTTGTCTTCTCATATAAATGTGTACACTTGATAAATCCTTAAAATTTGCTGTTTACATGAGGTATTTCTCAGATAATGGTGTTCATTCGGTTGGTGATCTTTACAGATTTTATTGGGGCAATGTGATTCATAATGTTTTGTTTTTGTTCCTCTTTGAAATGGCAATAATAAACAAGATCCATCTGTGTTGACTTCTGTTTGAGTTGGACTCTTAACTTTATGTTCTGGCGGCGGACATTCATATGTTGCCTCACTTTTGGTTAAGAGAACTTTATTGACATGTATCTTTGATATATGTGCTACATCTACAGTGGCAGTTTGTGAGAGAATTGGACTGTTTATACACCTTTCTTCCTTAAGGATTTTATTGTTAACTCTTTTCCTGGTTTATTTATAGGATTTTATGAGTGGGAAGACAGTGTTCCGCAATATTATGGGCATTCTTTTGCCAGGAGTCAATTCCATTATCACTGAACGCACAAATCAAATTTATGGGCAAATCCTTGAAAAAGCTGTCCTCCTATCATTGGAAATTATTATTCTGGTCTTGGAGAAAGATTCATTTGTTTCTGATTTTTGGCGCCCCCTTTATCAGGTGTGATACTTAACTCTAATTCCATTTCTATAACTCGCTTGTGACCTGGGTCATGAGATTAATTGGAAAGCACTTATCAACCATCTGCCATTTGAGGAATAGCTTGTCTCAAGTTTTTCTACCATTGATTTTCATTTTTTTCTGTTGTACAAACTTAACAATATAAGAATATATTATCTGAGTACGACTGATAGTTTAGGAAATATTCAGATTTAGGGTTGTTGCATGGAGATGTTAAACTGTTTATGAAATTTTCATTACTGGCATTCTTGCTTTTATGAAGTTTAAACTATCTCTTAACAGTTTGCAGCTTTTGCTATCTCTTAATATTTTCTTTTTTTTTTTTTGTCCAAAAATGTTTTTTCCTTTTCTTTGTTCCTTTTTATTTTATCACTCTTCTGTCAACTATGCAGCCCTATTGTCTTTTCTAAATCTTTTGCTTGTCCATGTTTCCTTCAGTAAGAATTGTTGAAAAGAGCAATTTCAAGTGCTAAATCTGATGTTTTCTTTCTAGCTGCCTAAGGCTAAAAAGTTATGATTGAACGATGTTTGATTACTAGTTATGATTATAACGAGTGCAAAGAGTTTCTCAAATTGCATAAAATTGCTTTTTATAAATGTTTCATATTGGAATTGATTGAGTTCAGACGTCGGTATGCAAGTAATTTATGCATATGAATCAACCCTTGATGATGTTTGTCTATATACAAGTTCGTTTTTCTATAAGATCTTTGCCTTGACATTTATGTTGTTTTTATTGCTTTCTACACACTCTGTCCTATCTCGTGCTACCTTTACCTTGTGAATTTTGTTTCTTGTAAAAATTCCCAAGACAATCTCTAATGGTTTTGTTTGTGCATTCTTTACCCTGCAGCCTTTGGATGTCGTTCTCTCTCAGGATCACAATCAGATTGTCTCTTTGGTGGAGTATGTTAGATATGATTTGCAACCCCGAATTCAGCATTGTTCTATCAAAATTTTGAGCATTCTTAGGTATTTGTATTGTTTGTAGTTTTTTGGTGACATGTCGTGGTTTGGTGTGCAATTCTGTTTCAATGATTTTTTTTTCCCCAATTTCGACCATATCTGTGGCAGTTCGCGAATGGTTGGTCTCGTTCAGTTACTTTTGAAATCCAATGCTGCAAGTTCTTTGATTGAGGACTATGCTGCATGCTTGGAGTTGCGATCTGAGGAATCACAAATTATTGAGGACAGCAGAGAAGATCCTGGTGTACTGATTCTGCAAGTAAGTTAAGAGTTTTCTCCTCTGGCCGAGTAATGAAAATACCTCCATTTGCAGCAGTGATGGGTTTGTTTATTATCAATTCTCTTCTTAAATCCAGCGCACTTGAAATTTTCTCCCTTCAATCTGCAGTTGCTCATCGATAATATTAGTAGGCCTGCTCCAAATATTGCACATCTACTTCTCAAGTTTGATCTTGATTACTCAATTGAGAGAACCGTGCTTCAGCCAAAATTTCACTACAGGTGTTGCTTCTGGTCCAAACTAATTAGTTTCCGCATTTTCATTACTTTCTTATCGAGATGTCAATTATTTTTGGTTGATGATATGCAGTTGCTTGAAGGTCATTCTAGATATATTAGACAAGCTTTCGAAACCAGATGTAAATGCATTGCTACATGAATTTGGTTTCCAGGTCTGTCGTTTATGGCTATTGTGTTATGAAATTCATGAGTGGAATGATTTCATGATATTGCTGTTGTGGTTGCTTATGTTCAGTTGTTTTATGTAGCTCCTGTACGAGTTATGTTTGGATCCACTTACTTCTGGCCCTACTATGGATTTGTTGAGTTCAAAGAAGTATCAGTTTTTTGTGAAGGTACAGATTGCTCCTTATATCTAAGATTTGGTGTTTCGGTTATCTCCTGTACTCATCTTTTCTGAAATATTCTCCATCTAATATTTGTATGACAGCACCTAGATACATTTGCCATTTCTCCACTTCCTAAGAGGAACAACCAGGCTCTTCGGATCAGCTCCCTTCATCAGGTTCGACTCTAATTTGTCTGCAGGCCACAGCATTCAAGTTCTTTTCTTGTTCTTTATTCTCATACTCATTGCTGTAGTTGCTCCCTTGATAGTACTCCTTGTTGGACACATTGGGAATTTGGGATATCTTTTGTTACGGTCGTGTTTTACGGATCTGTTGATTGTTTCTCTTCATTTTTTATGTATCGTATTCTGATTAGGTGTCGTTTACATCTTTATGTGAATTTTACTGTTTAACGGCACTTTCACATACTCGTTTTTGTTTTGTGTTCCTTTTCTGGTGCGAGGGAGATTTTCAGTTGTGTATGGTGGAAACGAGGATGGGTACTGAATTGGAAATTTAAAGAACTTGATTCTTGCACTAATGCATGACAAGCCTGAATAGATCAGATGACTACACATCCACATTATCTGTCTAACTTATAATTCTTATTTCGCTGTCATTTGATGAGAAAAGACATTTATGTTATATAAATGTGGTTTTTGTTGTATTTAAGCCATCTTTAAATTATCTTGGTTTCCATGCCTTACGGGTAGCACTTTTCCATGAGAGTTTGTGCACATTGAAGCATTCCTGGTTTTGAACCGGTGCTTGCAATTGCCCTTATTTTACTGCAGACAAAGTTGTTATTCTAGGAAGTTGTCTGCAAAAGGCTGTTCCTTCTGATCTTTGATTGCCCAGTAGGATTGCTATGAGGTTGCTTAAAACCTTCCTGCTGTTTAGTGATTTCTTGGCTTTTTTTGCATATGATTTACACTCTTGACTTCCATTCTTTACCTTGGTTGTGGCTTAAAGAAACTCTACAGAACAATTAAGTTCTACTTGGTTTTCTTGCAAGTCTTGTTAGTTTGGGTTTATTCCATTTTTTGATGGATCATGAGGTTCAATTTGGGAATTATTGCTTTTATTCCAATTATTTGATGAACTTGGTGAATTACAATGTTTGCATGTAGCTTTCAATTTCCTGTGCAAAAATATGAGAGATGAGGACATCAAGAAATGGGTAAGGTGTTTTCTAGTTAGTGGCTTGAAATGTCTCGGATTGAGAAGTCCCAAACTGGCTGCAGATTCTAACTACGCTTAAAGGAGAATACAATTTTGATTTACAAACTTGAATTCTGAATTTTATGCTGGAATGCCTTATAAATTTTGTTGTATTTAGCCGTTGTACAATAACTTTTCAAATGTAGATTCATCACTGTAACTACATTGGTTATCACTCTTACCGTTTTCTGCCTCTATATGTGCAGCGGGCATGGTTGTTGAAGCTTTTAGCGATAGAATTACATGGTGCTGATACTGCCAGTTCCAGTCATCGAGAAGCATGTCAATGTGTTCTCACACAGCTCTTCGGATTCGACAATAGCGAGAGTTCCACTGACAAGCATAAACTCCCTCCCATTGCTTCAATCAGCTCTGATATTGGTGGACTTAAATTGATTGGCAAAAACAAGGTATTGCATGCGTCTTTTGTAAAGTGCTAACGGACAAGCAAACTGTATTATTTGGACAACTAATTTGCATGTTCCTTTTTTGGTTACATGATCTAACTTTTGACTACGCAAAGTTTCAAGAGATTTCTGTCTATTTGTTCTAGATGCTAAAGCATTTGTTAATGGCTGTATCTTTGCAATAATTATTCTGTTATTGAATAAAAATTCACCAAAGTTTTATAGGAATGATAGTCTCTGTGTATGACGGTCTCTATTGTTTTGTCTACTTTTGTTTGTTCTACTCGGCCATTCCCATGTGACCTGCCCCAAATAAAAAAGGAGATGGTGTATGAGTAGTATGTTGGTCATTAATTCATTGATAACTGGAAAATAATGAAGAGGGAAGGTCTATTAGAGGTCTATCAAAACTCTTGAGAAAAAGTTGTAGGTTTTGCTTTATGATCGCAAAATTGCTGATTACAATGGTCTTTGAGCAAGTAGTTTGGCTTCCATGTCAAATCCATACTATCTGAAGGAATCAAAGTTTTTGAGTTAGTTTACGAATTAGTATTGTCTTCGTAATGTCCTCCTTGATAGTTGCCCACTCTGGTTTGGTTTCTTTAATTTATATTTTAATAAGGTTTCATTTTAACTCTCATTTTCTACTTTTGCCTCTTCTTGGTAAAGGAATTGCATTCTTCTGATTATGCATCTGTCAGTTCAGATTTGATGACTGGTTTATTTTCTGATGAAGGTGTTGGGATTGCTTGAAGTGGTCCAGTTCAAATCTCCAGACTTGAAGTCTTCGGCTATTTCGAATATGAAATATGGTTTTCTGGTGAGAACTGATGCAAGTGGTTATATGAAGGATATTTTCTTTCTTATCGTGGATTTTGATGCTGTATATCTGTCTTACTGGAGTATTGATCTCATATGTTTCCTTCCTTTCTATATTTTATCTTATAGGCTGAGGATATCCTTAAAAATCCATCCACTGTTACAAAGGGTGGTATTTATTATTACTCAGAACGTGGTGATCGTTTGATTGATCTCGCTTCCTTTCGCGACAAACTCTGGCAGGTGGTTTTCAAATACTAAGTTGCCTTTCTTTACATGCTGGTTTCTGTATGTTATTAATATGGATATTATGTGTAAATTATTTAGTTTACACTGTTTATTTCCCCCCTCTTTCCTAATTCGTTGCATATACACAGAGATTCAATTCATTGGACACCCAACTCAGCTCCTTTAGTGGTGAAGTTGAGCTGAATGAATTAAGGGAGACAATCCAACAGTTGCTGAAATGGGGATGGACATTTAATAAGAACCTTGAGGAGCAAGCGGCTCAGCTTCATATGTTAACGGGCTGGTCTCAGATTGTAGAAGTGAGTTGTTTTCGTTCCAAGTTATTCCTTTTTTTCCCCACCCAATGGCCTAGAGGGATAGTTAATTTCTCTGCCCCTCCCCCTCCCGTCCTCCCTTCATTCTCAGGCAGAAATTGTTTTTCCCCCTAGTTATGTTTACATGACCTACTGCTGTTTTCCCAGGTCTCGGCATCTAGAAGAATTTCAGCACTTCAAAACAGATCAGAAATGTTATTTCAGTGGGTTGCTTTGTAACCTGTATTTCTCGCTTTTCTTCTATGATAGCATTAGACTAAAACTTACAGCAACCTCTTTACAGGTTGCTGGATGCTTCCCTTACTGCCTGTGGTTCTCCTGACTGTTCACTCAAGATGGCTCTTATACTCACGCAGGTGATACATACTTTTCTCTTCCTTATTGGAGGTTGCTGTTTTTGATAAAAAAAATCTATCTATCTTTTCAATTAATGCTTGTTTACAAATTGTGTCAAGGTTGCATTGACATGCATGGCAAAATTACGCAATGAACGATTCTTATGGCCTGGGGGTTTGACAGCCGATACAGTCACCTTTCTGGATATCATGTTGACAAAACGTCTGTCTAATGGAGCTTGCCAGTCTATTTTATTCAAGCTTGTTATGGCAATTCTTAGACATGAAACATCAGAAACTCTGAGGAGACGGTATGATTAGGTTTGAGTGGATTTCTGCCTTCCAATTTGGAATTTTTTTGTGATAGGTTTCTCCATTTTCCTCCTTTCTTTCAGCCAATATGCCCTGCTTCTTAGCTACCTCCAATACTGTCAACACATGCTCGATCCCGATATTCCTGCATCCGTCCTGCAGTTCTTATCAGCTAATGAGCAAGACGATGATCTGGAACTACACAAGGTTGTTTACTTTTTTTGCAAGAATGTTTATTGTTTTCTTTTTTCTTATTATATTTGATAATAGATGTTTAAGCAAGTTCTTTCAGCAGTACGACAAGGAGCAAGCTGAATTGGCTCGGTCCAACTTTGCTATCATAAGAAAGGAAGGTCAATCAATCCTTGAATTGGTGCGTATCCAACGCACTTTCATTTTCTAGCTTCTTACTTTTTTGATTGCTGTATAGGAAGATGGAAACGAAAAATAAGGACACTGATCTGAAAGGACGAACTCTTTTAAGATGGAAACGAAAAATAAGGACACTGATCTGAAAGGACGAACTCTTTCTCTGTAGCGAAAATCATTTTAATACCCACAAAATGATAATTGTTTTCTCTGCCCAATAGTCATCTTGGAAGTCCATCTCTAAACATATTTCTATTTTTAATTTTGAAATATAACCCTTTAAATACTTTGAACAAACTCTGACTGCAAATTCTGAAATCTTCATTTGTTTTTCCTATCATTTATCCTGCCCTGCCTCGTCTTCCTGTTGTAACGAGTTAAACTCTAGAATCTTACGCTAACTAAATATTTTCGGCCTGCACGGATTTATGGTCTTGTGCTTCTTGAGAATGATGTGGGAGTGTTTTAGGTTGAATGTTTACTCTTTAGCTGTCATCCTCTCTTCTTTTGAAGTACTTGTTACTTAATGTCCTCCACTGCAGGTAATAAAAGATGCGACCCAGGGCAGTGAATCTGGAAAGTCCATGGCCTTCTATGTGCTGAATGCATTGATTTGCATTGATCATGATAAGTTTTTCCTAAGCCAACTCCAGAGTAGGGGTTTTTTGAGGTCTTGCTTCATGAACATTGGCAGTATGTCGTATCAGGTATGTGCCCCTCCACACGTATCTTTAATTAGTGGGATGCATCACTTTTTTATATTGTTGATATTGTTGATTCCTTGGTGATAGTGCTTTGAGATTTTTGTACATCTGATAAAGATGGAACCAATTTCTTGTGTTTGTCCATGTTGGTTTAGACTTGGTATAGTGAACTAGATCTCATCTTCTATTAGAAGGCTCAACTTGGACAATTATAGTTGTTATCCTACATCTCTAGCAAGTTATTTGGACACCTGAGCTATGTGCATAAAAGGCATACACATGTTTCCCCGAGATGTCCAATTCTAGAGATTGTTTAGGTTCATTTAAGACCATGTGATTTCTACTGTCAATATTGTGGACCTAGGTTGGCTGCTTTGCATTGAATGATGCTTCAGTTCATTGCTCTGTATATGCTTCATTAGGCTGTAAATTTATTTTCTGGTGTAAGAAAAATCTTGAAGCAAATTACATGATTGTGCAATCTGTACTGATTGTGTTTCTTGGAATAAACAAGTAGTTAATCAGGCTGTTTATATCCTACAGAGTTGCTGATTGATATATTGCCAACAGTTCTGGTAGATGCTGCTTAGTTAGCAGTACATGAGATTGTGGATGGGAAGTTTTATAAAAGATTATTCACTGTGCTATGTTCTTGGGTGATGAATTTGCATTTAGATTTTATCCCCTAGTAGGAACGAGGAGATCTTAGCATTGTATGTGGTGGACTACATTTCTTAGTCTAGAAGTGCTTGTGGTTTTTCGATATATCATTGCTTATTGTGTTGACTTGTCATTTAATTCTTTCACCAGGATGGCAGGTTGTCATTAGAGTCCATGCAGCGGATGTACACGCTTGAAGCAGAGCTTGCTCTCTTGTTGAGAATTAGCCACAAATATGGGAAATCAGGTGCCCAGGTTCTCTTCTCGATGGGCGCTCTAGAGCATCTTTCAACTTGTAGGGCGTTAAGTATTCAAATTAAGGTACCGTGTTTTAACTAATCTGGTATGTTATTGCATTTGTTGTCTTCTCAATTTGATTGCTCTGAAATTGACAATTTTACCAGGGAGGGCTCAGAAGGAGTAATTCCAAGTTTGGGAGAGATTATTCTGCCGATGTTGGTGAACAACGAGGTGTCATTGCTCCAATACTCCGACTGGTGTTTTCCTTGACTTCATTAGTTGATACATCTGACTTTTTTGAGGTTGGGTTGCTCTCTCTGCCTTTATCCTTTTGTATTTCTAAAGTTGTAGATGTTCTGAAGAAAACAGAAAACTCACACACAAAGTTGGATGTATGGATTTGAGTTATCTCTATGTATGCGGAAGCTTGTTGAAAATCACTAGTGGTCACCCTGAAAGATGTCATCCTGACATGGCAGCTTGGCTTATGTCATTCCTGCCATGATCAGATTGAAATTGAATCCATGAAATGTGATAGCATCACTTAGCATTTTTGTGGTTTAAGTTTCTGAGGAATGAGCATGCCAGCTGCAATTACCTGTATTTCTCCATTTTTTCTTCCTCAAAAACTGTGCTGATGACTATTTTTCCTATACCAGGTGAAGAACAAAGTTGTGCGTGAAGTTATAGAATTTGTGAAGGTCCATCAATCGCTCTTTGATCAAATTCTTCAGGAAGATATTTCAGATGTTGATGAGCTAAATATGGAGCAGATAAATCTTGTTGTTGGCATACTTTGTAAGGTATGCAAATCTGTACATGACTTCCTTTTCAAGTCCACCTGACTTCAACTGTTCCGTTACATCCCATATTAAATCTGTCGGGTTTCCTGGGAGACTTGAAGTTTTCTTCGATTTCTACCTTAGCCTTCCTCTATCTTTTCTGTCAACCTGTTTTAGTTGGCCTTGGTGATTTTGTAATTTTTGTAAACACTTTCATGCAAAAATGAATTGGATGTTTTATAGGTTTGGCCATATGAAGAGCCTGATGATTGTGGATTTGTTCAAGGGCTCTTTCGGATGATGCGTACTCTATTCACACATGATGCAGACTTTTTTATGTCAAAAGAATCAACTCGTTGTCTGGAGGTATTACAGGTTTATCCTTGCATGATGTATTTTGACTGGATTTATCATGAAAATGTATGATTATAAATGTCAATGCAGGGCAAAAGGAAGGAAGAGCTGCACAGATCTCGCCTCTGCTTCAGTTTGAGCTCCTATTTATATTTTCTTGTGAAGAGGGATTCTGTGAGATTACAGGTATCTGTGCTTAATGATAAGGAGCCTTTTTAATGACCTTTCGTCATACCAAAATTACTCGAACTGTCAAAGTAGCACTTTATTTGCCGAATTTACTTGTCGCAGATTTCAGATGGTCCAACATACCATCGTGGACAACAACAGCCTACATTGACTTTAATTGGCCTTTTCCTGAACTCGTTGACTACTACACTTGAGCGAGCCACTGAGGAGAACTTTTTGCTGCTCAATAAGGTTTAAATACTGTGGTGCATGGGGTCATTTTTTGTAACTGTTGTCGAACCAGATGAAAATAGACATTCATGGCAATTGCAGGTGCGAGATATTAATGAACTATCAAGACAGGAGGTTGATGAAATAATCAACTTATGTTCTCGTAAAGATTGGATTTCTCCTTCCGAGAGTATCCAGAGAAGGTATGTAGTGCTCCCTCCCTTCACCCCCCTCCTCTCCTCTCTCTCTCTCTCTCTCTCTCTTGGCTGATGTATGACCGTTGTGAAATCGGTGTATTTTCAGAAATCATGTTATCTTGTACCTATTGGTATGTTTGCTTTCCTATGGTTAATAAATGTTTACTTCATACAATTATTGAACAATCTCATGTTCATTCATCTATAAAAGCTCAAATACATTTTACATCCATTCATTTTATGAAGAATTTATCGTCAAACCTTTTCTGCAGAACATTCTGTAATTTCGAGCTGGGGACTTTGGTCTTACTACATTTTCATTCCAAAGAGAACATATAGCATGACAAACATACCTAGAAAGAAGAGAACTACATAGTTGAAGTCAACAGTTCAAAATGTTAACCATTTAATATGACCATAGAACAGAAAAACTGCAATTTTACTTTCCGATTTGGCAGTCAACAGTTTTGGTCTTCTTCCACGTTTACTACTTGGACATGTTTAGCTGTCAAAGGACTGCATTTCTTTGGTCTTCTTGATTATCAGAGAATCTGGCAATGTTTCTGGGCCATTTGTGGGAAATTGCTTCGTCATCAGGCTTTGTTGATTTGATAATGAAATGGAACAAAATTGCATTCTTTGGTACTAAAAGCAACAAAATTCAGGTCTCTTGTCGGAGAATCAAGCTTACATCAGGATAGCCAAGTTAGATAGCTTTGTTTGGGAGCTGATGGTTCACTTGACCTAAGAATCAATCTTCCATTTAGTTGTTACCATGGAAGTTCTAAATTACATTTTTAGCTACTTCAAAAAGTCGATGACTTACCTCATTTTTCTTTCCTATAGGAGGTACATTGCCATGGTGGAGATGTGCCAGATTATTGCAGACCGGAATCGACTAGTTACCCTTTTTCTTCTGCTTGCAGAAAATTTGATGAACATTATCCTTTCGCATTTTGAGGATAGGTATAAAGATCTTTTTTCTTATGTTCTTGAGCAGTTTAAAGTTTCTGTGGTTAAATGGAGTAAATTATTTCAGATCTTACATGGGCGATTCTAGTCAACCTATGAAAGCAATTACTTATGCCAGAAAGGTGGATTCGGATGAGGAGGTCAATCTGCTTTGTCAGAAGTTAATTCCCACTCTGGAACGGCTTGAATCACTATCTGAGGTAAGCAGTTGAGTCCTTTATGTATGAACACACCTTACCCTGTATTCATGGCCGGCATCCTCTTTCCTTCTTCGATTGGATCTTTGTTTTCTTTGGTTAGAGTTGGTCTTGGTCTTCTGTTATGCATGCATGTTACTTTTTGTAGTTTTCTGTGCTTTTAGTTTTGTTAGTGTCCTTATGTACTACCCCCGTCCCAAAATAGTCCAAATTGAGTTTTGGGATTTGTACTATTTAAAGTGCAAAATTTGAAAACTCAATGCCAACGGGGGAGTGGTTTGAATTGCGGAGGTTGAGCCTTAATGCCTTCAGGGAACTTTTGTGAATCTATTGGTTCATGTCCAGTAAATGCTGTTTCTGCCTTTTTGATATAGGAGTTTGTATCCTCTTTTTCTTTTCCTTTTATTTTGGAAGGAAGTTTTTAAGATGGTGGAGCCTAAAGTAATGTTCAATTTGCCATATTCAACTGGCAAAGAACTAGATAACTCCTACTGTTAAAAAGAAAAGGAATAGATAACCAGCTCTGTTGAATTCCCATTTATTCCTGAGTGATTTTGTCTTAGACTTCGTTTCCGAAAGTTCACTCACGTTTTCTAGCTTCTCATGTTCCTGATCCATTAGTTTTTTTGGGCAACAATTGCCAATTTATGTCAAACTTCGAGTTAAGGTTCTGGGTTGCTTCCTGTTTTATTACCTAAGGGTCGTTTATGGTTGTGATCTTCCATTATTTTCATTCCTTAATTCTTATTATACTCCTTTAATTCTCCAATTTTTTCTAAGTCAATTTCAATTGTGCTCATTTCTCTTATTACAATCTTTGTGCGCAGGAAAAAACAGGGCATGATCTCAAGGTATTTTGTAGATTAGCTGGTACTCTGAAGGAAATCTCATTTCAGAAGCTGGCATTGTGAACCATGTTAGGAAGCTTCCACCCCACGCCCCCAAGAGTTTTTTTGGGTTTTTTTTTTTTTGAACTCACCCCCCAAGAGTTGAATGTATAGAATACATGAAAAGGTGAAAGGTCTGACAAACCACATATTAGGCACCTTTCTTCGGGTGCTGTATTTTTTTGGTATCTCATTCATTTGTTCAAATTTCAAATCCATTAGCCTGAATCAAGTTTCCTGATCTTAATGATGTAATACAATGGGTGTATCGACTCATCCAAGAAATGTTGTTAGTTTTGCTATCGATGTTATCCTCTATTTTTATGCTAAAGTCTAAAAGAAATAAAGAAAGAAAAAGTTTTGAATAATGTACATATACTATTTTGGTCTAGGGCGAATAGATGATGTCTCTTGTAGACAATGGGCAGGTACCACATCTGTCTCTCGCCCACGAGCGTTGTTGCAACTAGCTACTACTTGCTCTCCAGCCGTGGCGGATGTCAGTCGTATACTTTGCATTGAAATCCCGGTGCAATGGACAAAGCGGCTGCAGTTCAAATTTATGGCAATTCGGGTGTTCGATGTTCCTGACATAGTCCTATAGGCCACGTCGCTTATTTTGACTCCAGAATTATCCTTAGTAAATACAAATGAGTTGAGCAAAATCAGAATGAGATAAACGCAGAGATCAAACTGTGCAAAGTAGAACTCTTTTAAGGAGATTTTTGTATTTACCAGTTCTGGGCAAGCACCTGCATGATCGCAATAATTCTGATCAATGATGATAGGATTCTTTACGTTGTTAAATCGCAGGTTTTCAAAAATGACATGCCGAACATATCCTTTTCCAACCTGCCATGTCTTGATCCTAGCTCCATTTGTTGTGCCCGTGAAGAATGAATTGATAACACGAATATTGCTGACTTCTACGGAGTTCCCTTGTTTTCCCAAGCTTCCAATACTATCAAAAGCCACACAAAAAGAACACATCAATTTGAGGACAAGCATTTACAGTTTGAGAATACATTAAACAATGGAAGATGAGATAGTTTCAAACCTTATACCATGGCCCGGTCCACATGTGATGTTAGAAATATCAACGTTGGATGTGTAATCGCCAATGGAGATACAATCATCGCCTACAAGTTCATTATAATCAATGATTTATTACAATAATAATAACATTTCACTAGTGATACTATGTGCGTTTTACATACCAGAACCGATTATCGAATTCGTGATTCGGACATGGTGAGAGGCTTGGATGTGGATGCCATCAGTGTTGGGGCTCTCGTCAGGAGCTTGAATGTTGAGATTGTTAACTCTAAACTGGTTGCAATGCATTATGAGTACATGCGTTTGGGGACTGTTGGTAAACCGAACGTTACTCAACCGACTTTCATTGCAGCCGACAAATTGCAAAGCCTGGAAAAAAACATAAAATGCACAAAATAATTAGATCAATATGGAATTTGGAAGTCAATTAGGAGGTAACAAAGTACCAACCGTTGGAGCAAAATATGTGCATCCTTCCTGCAACAAAGGAGTAATATCATATAGCCCACATGAGTAAGGAAGATAAAATTTGTTTTTGTAGAAAAGCAATGGAAACGAAAAAATGCCATGAATTCATCAAAGATTGAATACCAATTGAGGACTGATTTTACATGACTGACCCCACCAATAATTTCCTTGTCCATCAACATGCCCATTGCCTTCGACAGTGAGACCTTTGACACCATTAAAAACCAGCCATTGAGTTGCGCCGCGATAGAACAGCATGCTCGGTCCATTTGGTGCTAAGATCGTCCCAGATACCTAAATCATGATGAACTAAAAATTGTGAAATTGTTTATAAATTTGGATTAAAAAAATGTGCATTTTTTAACTAGGAGATTTGTGTACCGTGAATATGATCTTATCGGGTTTGCACGGGCCTTGGAAAGTCACAGGAAAAACTAAAAAAACCATGTTTTCTGGTACGACAACTTTAGAAGTTCCCGTATTTGCATTGCATGCTGCATTCCAAGCCGCTAGGAATGCCTAAAGAAATTTCAAATACCTGATTATATTCTATCATATTGTTACCTTTCATATGATATATATTTCCTCTGTCCCAAAATAAAAAATGAAATAGGCATTGAATTTACTTACATGGGAATTATCAAAGAAGTTAAAGCCAAGAGCACCATAATTCAACACATTGTGAACCTGTGCTTCAGGTGCAACCCGATGACAAATGGATCCAATTATCACCACAATGAAACAAAATACATTCTGCAAGGCATGATACATGATCAAACCAAGGTCAATAACCAAAAAACCTTATCAATATAGTGTAAAAGTCTGATATTTTGCGTTGTCTTACCATGATATAGAATGGAGTACTGATGATGCTCAACTACACCTGCAACAAATTGTCACTTTCTTGCAGCTAGGAGAAGAAAACCTGTTTGTATGTTGTATCCAATGATGCACTCAGTCACTATACAATATTGCTGTAAATTTGAGCAAAAAAAGAAGAAGAAAAAAATAGAATGTAAGATTAGTGTTCTTTGAAGTATGTGAAATTATGCTTTGTTGGTGTAGTACTTCTTGATGATGAACTAAAAGTCACTTGTAAACTCTTCCTTATTAAACCAGGAAAACAAAAAACATGAGGTACTTAATGACAATAAATACAGAGTATTTACTCCACACGAAATGTCATTATAAGATAGTACTTAATTATCATCAATAGAATAATAGTTTTTTTTTTTTTTTTTTTTTGTAAAAGAATAGAATAATAGTTACTTTACTGTTAAATTGAAGATTGATCTTTCCCAAAAAAATATTTGTGCACCTAAAAATTTTCACCAACAGAAATGAATATTTAAATTGGATCAGTCAAGAAAAACAAGTATAACATACGCAGATTTTATGATTTTTACTACTCTTCATTTCATTATTCCTGATAGTTTAAGTTTGATTAGTATCAACTTCGTTTCATTATGTGCTTCATAATTAGGGTATAAAAAACTTTTCAGTCACATAAATGATTCAATATTTTTTAAGCTTAACAATTAACCTATGCTTCTTCACGGCCTTTAACAGATTTTTTTATTTTATTATAAAAAAGAGCCAAAATAATTACCCTTTTTTCTCCCAACTCAACCAAAACATCACATTCATCATCAAACTCATCTTTTATAAAAAAAGAGAAAGAAAAAAGAAAAAAAATCATTCCACTCATGAATTTCACAACACCGAAGATCAAGGTTAATCTCATTTTTTTGGACAATAATGCAACATCAACAGAAATGGCCCAAAATTTACAACAAAAACAACATCAACATATTCATCACCATTGCCATACTAACGTCCACCATCATCATCAATAATTCATAATCACCCATTCATATCATGTTTAACCAATATTATTACACCAGCTGTTACTGCAAAATATTGGGGGAAGTAAAAAGGTTTTAATTTATAACTAAACATTAATATGCAATAAAGAAAGTTAATTTGAGGTAACAAAACGCAGTTACATTTTTCATTCAAGTACATAGAGAATGAAATTAGTTAGAGCATAATTCATGGTGAACAATTGTTCAATGTAACAACAATCTTTTTTCCTTCACACAACAAAAGTCTTATTTATTATATTGTTTAACACAACAAATAAAACTCTTATCTTGGAACATGGGATTAAATCTTTTTTTCTCTATTAATTCCATTGATGAAAGTACAAGTTGTAACAAATTTATATCTTTTTTTAATAAAAAACAAAAACAAATTTATATCTAACTTGTTAGCCAAACTAGAATCAAAACTATAGTATCATCCACATATTCAGTCATTAAATTGTATCTAGACTCTATAAAGTAATAAATTTAATTAAAATTTTACCTTTATGGAATATAAGGCTTTTCTGGAATGGCTCAATCAGAATCTTGCACCAAGAAGTTGTCTCTACACACGAAAAAAATATATTCCAACCAACCAAATGTGATGAAGCAGGGAAAACGGGTTAAAATTTGCAGCAATTAATTGACGGAGGAATATACAAATAAAGCAAAAGTCTATTGAAGATCAGCTCCTAGCTAACTTTTTCAAGCTTCAGAGCATAAAATAGGTGAAAAAAGCTCGCAAAAACGAAGAATTTCATCTACTATAACACATCCAGTATACGAAATAATTAAGGTACAAAATATTTTAGCAAGTTAGGAAAAATGATTGACATAATCTAACGAAAAACACACAACAACTGCAGAAGATATACTTACATATAGTCCTTTATGGAAAACAAAGTTGAGAACAAAACCCAAAGAATGACTTTAGAGCAAATGTTGATCGAAATGATGGAATTTATATGAAGATTAGAAACAATTGAGCTTTAAATTATTGTGATTAATGAAAATTAATGGAATGTGGGAGGTTGGCGGTTTTGAACTTGAGTCTATGGACAATAAACTCTTTTAATGGTAAAAAAAATTATCATTTATATGAAGTTATAATAACAGGCTAAGGTAATCAATTAACGTAGAAAGATTGTACTGTCAAGAGTAAAAATCAATGGTCAAAGCATTTCAATTTACATCTACCTGAAAATTATGGTAGTATTTGAATCATTGATTAGACTATTAAAGTTGATGGGACAATATAATTTTTCTTTAAATTTCTTTCAAATCCCCAGCTCCTTGTTGGCATTTTTATCCATGTATATGTCACATATTTTTACATATTTTATTATTATTAATTTTCAACACTTTTTTTTTTTTTGCTTTTCCGAATGCACACATTGTGAAGAACGTAACAAACAAATCCTCAATAATATGAGTTTGGTGGGAAAAAAGTAAGTACATTTAAATTGGATTGCCACTATTTGGGGTTGAATTTTTCTTAATTTTTTTTTTCGGGTGGAATATTTTCTTAATTGCAAACGGTAAGAACTAGGAAAAGTCAACAAATTAATCACCTTAAATGCAAGAAGACATAAGTTGAATGTAAAACTGTCCTAATTTAAAGTTGAAAATAAAAGAAATACTGTAGTTTTATTTATATCCTTTCTAACTACTCCCTCCATTCCAAAATATATGTCGCTGGAGGAGTTTCACAATGTTTAAGGAGACAATAAATATTTAGTTAAAATACTAAATTACCCTTATTTATTCTAAATACAATTCTATTTCCAATATCATTTAGTACTAATACACTTATATTTTAAATACAATTACAATTTCCCATGTAGGGGCAATGTTGGAAGAAGTTGACAAAATATGCCTAGATCTGCGAAAACGACATCTATTTTGAAAAAAATTGGTTTCCCTCCAACGACATATATTTTGGAATGGAGGGAGTACTACTACAAACAAAAGTCACAGTTGTAATTATGCTATTATCAAAACACTTGTAAATTTTTTGTTCAAAGATGGGGGATCATTAATTAAATCAACGAACAAAAAAATAAAAATGTAACCACTATACATTTTGACCATTTTGTTTGATGATTGACTCATTAGCAGCCTCGATGGCAGTTTGGTTATATAATTAGATTTCACACTGATTTATTTTAGTCCTACTAGTAATTATTTGATAATTTTTAAATTATTTTCAATGCATGAGTTTTGATAGCTAAACGGAATTTTCGTACGAATTTCATGAAAAATCTCAAAAGTAAGTTATAATTACGAGGATTTATGCGATATAATCTGTCTCTTATTTTTCATAAAGCACAAATTTAAAGTGGCCGTTTTACTCATGTAATCAAGTCAACCTGCCAATTTAGCAATAACGTATGTACCCTTGGCTCCAAGTTTTGAAGTTTTTCAAAATAATGGTATAAATTTTTAAAAGACGTCAGATGAAAAATACTCCAAAACTGTTATAAAAAAAATCCAAAACAAATAAAATAAATAAGCTATAGTAAAATGTTAGCCTGCTAGGGAAGGATATTTAGAAATTACAATGAAGGACAAAAAATAGCTTTCTTCTTCTTCTTCTTCTTCTTCTTCTTCCTTCTTTCTATCTTTTTTCTTTTTTCTTTTTTCTTGTGGGGATTATGAAGAGAAGTCAGTGTTTACTAAAAGAGAAATAAAGCTGAATATCATTGAATTCGTTCAAATTCAGTTACGAAATCGTTAATTGAAGAAGTGGTGGGAATTTCAGTTTTGTTAAATTACGTTTTTAAGTTAAAGAATACCAAACATTCATGGTTATAATACTTGACAAAGCCTGGAATTGTAACTCTGGTTGAATATCGTAATTTGTAAATAATGTATCATGGTCATAGTAATGTAATGTTTTGTGGCTATATTGTTGTTCAAAAAATTGGCAAACGGTGTGAAAAATAAACCAAATGTAATGGACAAAAATATATTCAATCCCAATCTGTTTAAATGGATGATCTTAATGATGGTTATAAATATTACATTGTCCTAATTAATTGACGATAGTTGGAAATAAAACAATTGTTAACCCTCTAGCTAATTAATTGACGATAGTTACATTGTCCTAATTAATTGCCATAAAGTGAATTTAACATGAAAAGAAAGTTTCTCAAATTGGTTTCAACGGAACAAATGTCATGAATTCAATTGAATACTTCAGTCAACAAGTTATACTGTGTCGGATCATATAATTTCCATCTATATAAGAATCTGACTAGTAGGCGTTTTTTTTTTTTAATGCTAGTTTTATAAGCATTGTTTACATAACTCTTCTTCAAAAGGGCAAAGAGAATATCAGATTTCGACATTTTTTGTCATATAAACAAAAATAAAAAATAAAAAATTCCTTTTTTTTTTTTTGGATGCTTAAGTAATTTTCACAATCCTGAAGTGGTGGGTGCTGACTTTAGTAAACAATGACCAGGAACAACATCAAATTCTCGTCCATAGGCATTGTAGCAACTAGCTGTGACTTGTTTTCCAGTCACTGCATTGGCCAAATGAATGTTGTCCATCCAAATCTCCGAACAAGGAACTGATTTACTGCACTTCAGATTGATGGCAATGTCGGTGTCTGATGTTCCATACAATGTGGAGTATGTTACATTTCTGATCTTCACTCCAGTTACCTTCATTTATGCATATATATGTATCAATGAGTGATCAAAAACATATTAGTATTAGGAGGTTCAATATATTGACCCAAAAATGCAATTGAAGTTGTTAGTCCTCTTACTTGTTCCTTGCAGTCATTCCTGACATCGCAATAGTTTTGATCAATGATGATTGGATTCCTGACTTTGTAGAATTGCAGATTTTTGAATGTGATATCCTGGGCATAACCTCTACCTACCTGTTAAACAACAAAAAAAAAGATATGACGATGGCGAATCGGGCGAATCTCTAACACCAGGAGTATCTCGACTGAAGTGAATTTCACTGTCTGAAAAAGAGTGAATCAATGCTAATGAAAACAACAAACCTGCCATGTTTTGATCCGAGCTCCATTTGTTGTCCGGTCGAAATATGAATCAGATACATGGATTCCACTGACTTGTACAAAGTTACTATCTTTTCCTAAGCTTCCAATACTTGTGATGATGCCAGACAGACCAAAAAACGATGCCAGTTAACTACTGCAAACCTTAATTCAAATCTGACAGCAATTGTAAGAAATGCTGATTTCTGTGTTTCTTTCGCGATTACTCGATGCAGCAATATACTTGCATAAGAAATCAGACCTTATGCCATGGCCAGGTCCACATGAAATCTTTGATATCCAGACATTGGAAGTGTAATCTCCCACAGAGATACAATCATCACCTGCCAGGTTTATTCATTGGATCCATGTTACCTCTAAAAATGGTCTTCTTCACACAAAAATGCAACATCCTCTATGTATAATTCACAAAAATGGCGATATCGAGTTTGCGTATATATACCACTGCCTATGACTGAATTGGAGATGCCAAGATTGCTGGAGGCTTGGATGTGAATACCATCAGTATTGGGGGTCCACCAGGGAGCTTGAATCTTGATGTTGTCAACACCGAAATCCCTGAGCCTCCCTAAATACATGTGTACTTGGGCACTGTTTGTAATGTGAATGTTTTTCACTGTACTATCATTGCATCCATGGAAACTTATAGCCTTTCAGAGATCAATGAGAAAGCCATTAGTACATAAATACACAGAGAAGCAGTTCCATAAATTTACCTGTAAAGTAATATTTTTGGAACTAGCCATAAAACTACTCACTGTTGGAGCCAAACTTGTGCAACCCTTCTGAAAAGTTCAAACACAGTAATTCTGGTGAGCCATTAAGATTTTTTTTTTTTTTTGTAAGAACAGAACAGACTGATTTTTTCAACCTGTGACACAAAAAAAAAAAAAAAACTCATGAAAAATGGATACCCATGTATTATGTTTACAGGATTGATCCCACCATCCCTTTCCTCGTCCATCGATTACGCCATAACCATCAACAATAAGACCATTAACACCACCAAAGATCAGCCATTTGCTAGTGTCACGCCCTTTCCAAACACTGGGTAACTCTGGTGCTACAATAGTACCTGATAGCTGTTTCAGGTTATGAACCAAAGGAAAAACAAAAAGAAAATTAGTATCATTTATCAACTTATCCTTACATTGAAAACTGTATGGCTTTTGATGATCATACAACAGATTGTTTAATTACCATAAAAACAACATTTTTTGCTTTGCAGGGTCCTTGGAAATTTACAGGGTACACTAAAAATGTCCACTTTTCAGGGATGAGGATTGTTGGTTTGCCTGATTCTGCACACGCTAAATTCCATGCCTTCAAAAATGCCTGTAACAACTTCAAATTCATCACTTCTGCTAAGTTTTTTTTTAACCAGTTCATGCAACTTTTCTTTTAGTATATGAATGGAATTGATGCTGAAGATTTGCACTTTACATTGGAGCTATCTCCTTTGTTATAGCTGGTTGCACCATAATTCAATACATTGTAAACACCTGCCTCGCTAAAAACCGATCCCGTAATCATCATCATCATAATGAAGCCTAATATCTTCTGCAGCCCAAAAAAAAAAAAAAAAAACCCGAATGAGGATCATGAGCTAAGAAGCTGAAAAAACCACATGCAAATTGTTATTGAAGTAATCCAATGAAGTATATCTCTAACCATGATACATGTTGGAGGGGAGATGACCGAAAATGTCATGATTATATTATCTGCAGAAACAAAATTTATACCAATAATAAGATCATACATTCTTACAAACATGTTACTAGGAACCGTCCCCAAAAAGTGTTACACAAACAATAGTCGGCCTAACTCTCGTCGTGACATTATTAGCGACCCGGGACAATAATTTCTTCATGGTTAGATAAGAAAATTTCACCTATATCTTGAAGTTAAGCTCTATATGTAGTATTTGTTGTTGCAGATTTGTAGCAAGAAATGTACCCAAAAATTAGAACACAGACACAAACACGATCTTCTTCCAGAGAAGAAGATGCGTTAGGTTTTTTTTTTTTTTTTTTTCATGCAAAAAGTGCCATGGAGATAACGCATAAACCAAAAAAAATTAAGCTTTAAAGAAGAATCTTTTTCCATTTGATTAATGAACAACTAAATGTGTTAACCTCAATAACTATATAGTTATGAAGCATTAAATCGAAATGTAGCTGCAACATAAACATTTAATTTTGTTATTAACACAATTAAATTGATATAAAATAAACAAGAAATAGGATAAGTTAAATTTTTTTTTTCCGTCTGAAACATTGACTTCTAAGTAAATAGGACCATAAAACGTAGTATCATTACGTTTTTCGAATAAGATAGGATACGAGTCACTTGGAAAACTTAGGTATGTTTGAATCGTTTTTTTTAGTGTGTGTAATAAATAGAGCCTTAAAACACTCTATTTTTTTTAATAAAGATTTCATAATTTGTCAAATTAGAGAGCGCAATTTTTAACCTTTCAATTTGATCCAAATGAATTCCCATTCTCAATATAAATTTTGCAATAAATAGTCCTCCCCCTCCCCCCTCCCCCCTAAAAAAAAAAAAATACTGCTAGCATTTCATTTTGTAGTAGTCTTCTCAAAGTATTTTCCTCGACTTCGACTAATTAGTGATTAGTTTTTTGGGGCTTATTTGAGTTGGCCCAGCATAAACGCCAATCTCGGGCCCAAATCAAGAAACTAATATCTGAATTTGCTATGCCTTCGAGATTCTTTACAGAAAGAAATAAATTCATAATTCTTCTTCCTGGTACAAAATTCCCAGTTCCATCAGCTCCAAAATCCCACTATTTTTCTTGTTCTTCTCGAAATTTGCAGAGAGAAAAAGCTTGATTTGATTCCTACAGTGATCCCTCTCGACTTTTCCATGGCAAATGCATGGAAAAGAAACCAACCCACAAAATTTTTCACCCCGAAAACAATACTCCTCTTCCTCTCGACTTCCTTTGTACTCTTGGTATTCTTCTACCTAGCCACCCAAATCCAAACTCCCAGCCCTAAAACCCTCAAAAGCCTGAATCAAGATTTGATCGTTGAGAGGAAAATCAAGCCTTTTGATTGCTACAATTCACCGCAAGCGCACCCAGTGATTGCCAACATTGTTGAAGGCCTTAAATACCCATTTCTGTACTCACTTTCAGATTTCGGAAATTTGCCTGATAAGCCTCACAAGAACATTGTCAGAACACTTAAAGGGAAACCCTTTAGGAAGGCTGATATCTCGGGGACTGTGCAGGAACTATTGGAAGGTATGAAGGGCAAAGAAGGGATCTTTCTGGATGTGGGTGCTAATGTGGGAATGGCTACCTTTGCCGCTGCTGCAATGGGATTTAAGGTTTTGGCTTTTGAGCCTGTTTTCGAAAATTTGCAGAAGATTTGTGAGGGGATTTACTTCAACAGAGTTGGACACTTGGTTGAAGTGTTTGAGGCTGCAACGTCGGATCAGTTAGGAAACATCACGTTTCATAAGGTATTTGATACTGAATCATGGTGTTCTTGTTGAATTCCTTTGAATTTTGCTTTTGGTTGGCTCTGTCGTTTCTGCTGTAAGTGCAGATCTTTGTGGTTATAATGGGCATCTAATGATCCGGGATATGACGAAATTTGAATATGTAGACGTCATTTTGCTAACTTCTGTCATAATTAGAGTGATTAGCTCGATTTTCTCCTTTATATATACTGTGCATCTTATGAGGAAAACCGTCATTGTTCTTTGTTCTCCACTTTGTATAGCTTTTTTTGCATAATTGTAGTTCTGAGGTTTATTGAATGCTGGCTTTGGGATGACTTGTATACATCGTAGATAGAGTGTATGTGTTATGAACTTTTACTTGTCTTGCTTTCTTAGTCAAAAGCAACTAGAGGAAGTATATTGTTGTGTGGGAATTCCTTATGTTCTGTTCCAATTTATCAATCCTGATCCTTCACCTTGCTTTGTGACAAATAAATTACATTTTCATAACTTGAGCAATGATTTATTGAACTTTTTTTTTTGACACCCAATTACAAGTACCTAGTCTATTACATGTGAGTGGGTCTATGGGGAAGGGGATAGTACTATTAAGGGGGAGATTCCACGCGCGCACGCCTCGGTCTGGTACTCAGAAAGCCTCCTGGCGAGGTGTAAGTAAACCTGCACAAACTCAACACTGAAAGTGTTGTTAGCGGGGTTTGAACCTGGGTCTCCCAGGTTGGATGCCAAAGTCCAAACCACTGGGCCACCCCTTTGTTGGCATTTATTGAACTTTGAATGTTTCTAACTCCTAGGTCATTGTATAAAATGCTCTCTTCTAGGTGCCATTCATCTTGGTATGCTCTAATCTCTATAGCTTACTTTGTCAAGGGATGTACATCCATAGTCAGCTGATTTTCACGTTTTTAAGAGTGGCAATGGTCAGATGAATCCTTTTGTGTCAAAAAATTTTCTATGTTGTCCATCTTCTCTCAAAAAATGCATCCCAGAACAGTTACAGAGACATGAAGTATGACTTTGTTAGTTTCGACAATATAGGCGAGCATTCTATTTCTTCGTAGATGTTGGAAGAGGGCTGATTCTACATTTGAATGAGCAACTGTTTTATTCTGCTCGGGTTTCTTCTTGTCCGGCATTGTTTCATTCCTTCAGTTTTACTAACTACACTTCTTTTTGCTACCTACCAGTTAGTTGGACGGCTAGATAATAGTGCAGTCTCAGCAACTGGTGCGAAAATGGCATTCAAGTCCAATGAAGAGATTGAACTTCAAGTCAGGTCTATCCCCCTTGATGACGTGATTCAAGAGACTGAGCCTGTGCTACTGCTCAAAATTGATGTTCAGGGTTGGGAGTATCATGTGCTAAAAGGGGCCTCAAAGTTACTTTCGAGGAAGAAAGGAGAAGCTCCTTACCTGATATATGAAGAAGATGAGCGCTTGTTGCAAGCTAGCGACAGTAGTGCTAAGGAGATAAGGAAATTCCTTCACAGTGTAGGTTACCATAATTGCACTCAACATGGTACTGATGCACACTGCACAAAGACGGATTGACAAGTTGATACTTATTTAAGAATCTGGTCCGGCACAAGCAGAGGAAAACTGGTTACAACCTTTGTGTTGTTTGAATATGTTGAGCAATGAACTGTCATTTTATTTGCTGTTCTATCTTGATGGCTGGATAACCTCATCTGATATTGCTAGCTAAGGTTGCTGGAAGATAGAGTGGCATTTACATCAGGAGACTGGTTAGCTTTCTTCGCGAGTAGTCCATAAAGTGATAGATGTGTAGCTAACGTAAGACTTGGTAAATTGATGATATCAGAGGGAATGACACGATGATGAATACTGTAAAGCTACTGATTTTAACATCCGGCGACAGTTGTGAGCATTGGAAGGTTTGTTGGTTTATCTATAATTCTCTTCTATGTTCCATGTTCCAAAATGCTTGTTTCATTTAAAATTTCCATTTCATTGATTTGATATAGTCAAGATAGTGCTCTTATTTAGTTTTATGATTATTTGAGGCCCGAGGAGGCATTATTGGAAATTGGGAGAAAATATGGGTTTGATGCAGATTTTGTATGGATATAATGTTCTCATATAAAGCTTTCTCTTTGTTGTTCTACTTCTTTGTTTTGGCAATTCTTGTTTTGTTGTTTGATGTGATTGAAAGTTTTGAGTTCACTTCTTTTGTTCAGAGGCTGGCTTGGCTTCCTCCGTCTTGTATTTTATCCGATTCTATCTATTAAGGCACGATTTGAAACTAGAACCGGAGGGAATATATAAAGTTCCATAACTGTTCAAACAAACATATCTCGACTGTTGTAGATTCTATAACGACTATAGCAAAAGCGACATACACTTGATGCTTCAGAACTGTATCCAGAACGGGAAGATTTCCCCTATAATCAACCTTAAGTAGGTTCACATAGCTAAAGAAGTAGTATTTCCAGAATTGAATGGTTCAGAAAACCGATGCCCGGAGGACAAAGGGCTGAAGCCTAATCATTGTTCCAATAAACTATTAACATTACATTGCTTTCTACAAGGTACTAACTGCGAAGAATAGTGCAAGCTGAATAATTTTTACTAATATACAGCACGTATGATCACTGAATTTTTATGTATTTACCTCAGGCCTTAGCCTTAGGACTCTTTTGGCGCACTGGTTTTTGAAGGGCCACATCGTTCCACCATAACGTCATATAGCTGCTTTCCATTCTGCTCAGAAGAAATAGCAAAACGAATCAAATGACTACTACTTATTAAGGCCTGTGACCTGAATAGAAACATATTTCAAGTTCCAATGACTTTTCTTACGAAAATGACAGGGAAGAAGTGCACTTGTCCCTCCGGCCTCGTTTGTGTCTCCTTAAAATAAACAAGAATTGGAAAATTCGGCCACCAGAGCTCCCAGTTCACGAAACTCGAATACCTGCAAAGTTAACCAAGGGGTGAGATGAAAGTGATGATGCCAAAGTTTGAAGGGGAAAGCAAAGGGTCTATGCAGATTCTACACTCACTTCCAACGGTTTTTTCCACCAACAAAAACATTTTCACCGGACTCCTCAAGCTGCTCTCCTACTTTAACTTCCTGTGAATTCAGGAAGTAACATAAATTAATACTCGAATTCGCAGCTAAATCAGAGTGCCAGAGTTTGATTTTCCAGCCTTACTGGAGAAATGCAAAATCTAATCATCTCAAAGCTCACAAAGATGAATCACACTGCCTTTGGCCTAACATCGTAACCATATTAAAGCCATTCCTAGGACCTAGAAATGATTCATCAGGATAATGTATAATTCGGAGAGGGAAACACTAAGTTACGTGAATGCAGAGCACAGTTATGAACTTGTGATTGTTGCTTTCAGTTAGCATTCAAGAGAACCAAAGAAGAAGGAGATATGATCATGAAATGGCCAAGTAGAATACTGTTATCTTGCTTGAATTACAAAGGAGAAAGAGGAAAAGTGTTGGAGAAAACATACCAGTGCCTCATCATCAAAGACAAACCTCACTCTAGTTGTCTGAAAAAGGAAATTAGAAGGGTGTCACTAAACAGATGACCAGTATTTTGCAGAACCATGCAAACCAATCTAAATATAACCAGAATGGAAGACAAAGGTCCACCCATTAAAATACTTGGTCCGGAAGAAATGTCAGCCAAAAGGTTAGAAATGGTAAAAATAATTACACAAAGTTGATACTCCCAAGATGAACATAATTAAGAAATCAAAGAAACATTCTTTATGCAAAAGTCCAGACACGGGTGAGCATCAACCTAGAAGAGCATGTGAATTGTCGCATACCTGAACTAACAGGAGTAATCCAAGTAGACCTATAGGAACTGCGGCTGCTAGATTATCTGCATAGATCAAGCCTCCAGACCAACCTGTTGAGTGTTGACACACCATCAAATCACATCCTATCTCTTAAGGATAACAATGATTTGCTCAAATTGAAGACCTTTTCTAAGTAAACACCATAAGAAAGTCTAGCTACATCCTAAGATGTCTTAGTAAGCTCTTAATCAAGGTAACAATTAGGTGCTAAAGTGTGAACCACGGCACAAACAGAAACCCTCTACATTGTCTAAACCCTTAACGTGTAATTTAGATTACAATTGGCAGATTAATGAAAAAGAAATACTCCTATATAAGAGCTAATATTATGAAGTGCCCACCAAGAAGGACAATTGGAATCCTGTAGTCAGGTTCAGGTATCACAGTCTCTTTCTTGACTTTCTTCACTTTCCTTCCAATTCCAAACTGCCAAAAGCAAAATGGTGAATGTCTGTAATCATTTTGTTCACTTTTACATGGAAATATAAAATGTACCAAGTTGTGCTGCTAATACATAATCAAGTGGCCTTAAAATCAGAGGAATTAAAGAAAAGTACGAACCACAGAGGAGATCATCACACTTCTGTTAGCACTGTTGATATTACTTCTCAAAGCAAAATTGTTGGACACCATGTTGCCATAGAATGAGCTTTGCAATTTCCTACCAAGGTAACCCACTTCTTTATCTGCTCAAAAAAGCAAATTTCAATGACGATTAGTTTCCACATCCCGAATAACTCCTACAATTCTGGGCAATTTTAAGCATTGCTCAAGGCAACAATAGCTTTGAAAAGATAATTATAGACAATTGGTGGAATTAGTACTTGTTTTCATTTTGGGGATTCAATTTGATCAATAAGGGAGTGATAAAAATGCTTACTTTGAGAAGGGATGAAGGCAGAATGAGATAAAAGCAGGCTTTCCATCTTCTACCTTTCTCTTTGCAACTGCAAAAAATGGAAGTGAGAGTAAAAATGATATGTCTAGGCTTTGAAATTCAATAGAATGGAGTGAGAGGCTATGCTTGTTTTTGCTTCCCCTGTCCTTTGGGAGGAAGAATCCACTTGACTCTTATGTCCTCTGTTATTTTTCTTTACTTTGGTGCCAAAAAACGACAATTATGTTAGAAATGTAATAAAAATAAAAATAAAATCCCAACTGAGGATCAGTTTTTAGTTTTCACCACTACTATTTGAGCAAAATTGTGGTTTTTAAAAACTGAAGCAGATGAAGAAAAAACCAAACACAATGAAGGGTCATTTGGTCATTGCCAATTGGGATGAAAGTAGAAAGTGTCTTGTGGAGAACCTTATCTACTTCACCGATAATTCCACAGCTGAAAAACGTTCGTTACCACCAACTCTTTAACAAACTTCAATAAATACTGGTTCTTGCTTTCTGCTCTGTGAACTCTTCACTCCAGTTCTTCAACTTAGAACAAGTGGAAAAACAAAAAAGAAGAAAGAAGTGCCCTTTAAATCATTTATCAATACAATGTCGAGTTCCATATGTTTCACACCTCTCAGTTCCTTCAAACCCATTAATAAGCCAGGTATTCCTCATTCTTTCTATCCATTTTCAACGCCTGTTCTTCATTTTTCAATGTCTGATTGGATGTATTACGAAGTGGTTTATGTGTTTCTGGCAATTGGGTTGTCAGAAAAATGTTTACTTTCTTAATTGCAATTTCATGTTCTTATTGTGATTCCACTGGGTGTAGTTGAGTTTATCCTGTGATAAGTTTTGGGAATTTCAATTTTTTTGTGCAACTTTTATCTTGTGTTTGAATACTTGATATTGGTTTTAGGCGTTGTTGGCGACTGTAATGTTCGAAAGGTTCAGTGGTTAAGGGATGTCAGCATTTCCAAAGATGCTAAGTTCCGGTCTCTGGAAGTCAAGGTGAGTATGAACTCCTCATAATTCAGCTTAGTAAGTTATTTCTGAAGCTTCAGTTTTCAAGCTATGATTAATGATAACTTGATTCCTTTAGGATAGTCTACTTTAATGGAAATGAAAAAGAAACAGTAAAGAAGTTTTTTCATTGAAATGCTTTCGAAGTATAAGATGAGTGGGAAGTACACCTCAAGAGGATAGGACTGAATTATTGACTAATGGTTTTCTAATAATCGTCTGTGGTGACTAGCTTTCTCTTTATTGTCCTGGCCTAATGCATCTTCATTTTCTTTTTGCAGGCAACAGAGAGCAACCAAACAACTAAAGTAAATAGCATTCTGTGTCGTCAATGTGAGGGAAATGGTAATATGATTTCTCGGACTGAATGACATGAATCAATCCATTGTTAATCTTACCGATTCCTTCTCACGCATTGTTATTTATGAGAAGTTCTTTTTACTTTGGTTCCTTGCTAGTTACCGAGATTTAAGGCTCTGGAGAAATTGATAACCATATCTGAAAAATCAATATGCTTGCCATATTGACACCTTGTACCAATGACCGCATAATGCATGTAATTTTGCATCTAGACTGATGCAATTTCTAGATATACTGTACCTCACCTAGTAACAGTCAGACCGCGTTGTTTGAAAATGGACAAATTTGAGGTGGCTTAAAACTCTGACATTCAAACATATATGTACGCATCAAATTTCCTTGCCAGCATTACTCACATTTAGGCTTATTCTAGCATCCAGTTTCCAAAAATGCTTTTGAAAGCAGAAGTATATTGGATGTTTCTCTATCTTCCTCCATTGGGTTGTCTGTTCTTTTAATTGGTATATTCATACATATGTCATTGTTTCTTAAGCAGCCCCTCTATAGCCATAGATATTGATCATAATAATATCACATAATTTTTGCAATTTTTTCTGAGCTTATGAATTCAGTATGTCTGCAGGTACTATAAAGTGTAAGCAATGCCTAGGTACAGGAGTTAACTCACAGGATCACTTCAATGGTCGGTTCAAAGCTGGTGGCTTGTGTTGGCTTTGCAGGTATTGATAAATAATTATTATATAAGTTCAGAAGTCATCTTATCATTCAATGAGAGGGTCAAGAGTCACTACCAAAAAATATGCCACCCAAGCTTTTGATTTGCCTTCAGTGATCTAGGAAATCAGACTTATCATTTCTTACACCTGTCAGCTTGCTGACCTTTGGTGCAGCTAGCTCATTTTGATGGGAAGACAATAAAATTCATTGTTTTCCCGAGCTGAGTCCTAATTTCAAAAGAGCTTATTTAGCCTGATCACAAAGATTAAACTTGGTTATTTCCTTCTTAATTTTTTTTACTTTTTATTTGTATTTTTTTGGCATCGAAACGAGTAATTTTTATGTAATGCCTTTAATAGTTAGCATGGGTGGCATATCAGTCCTTGTAAGTCCATCGGGTGACCAGCAAGTCACTTAAAATTTTGAAATTTAAGGCTAATGGATTAGTTAGTGTGTCCACAATAACATTGTGATTATGGGAAGAGTTCATCTCAGTAGACAGTGTTCTTGCTCCCTTGCTGGAGTTTGGCTCTAACCCATCTTGGTTTCTCCATTTCGTTTTTCTTCAGAGGTAAAAGAGATATATTGTGCGGAGAATGCAATGGGGCTGGCTTTCTTGGAGGAATCATGAGCTCTGCCGAGGACTAGGGTCGCCATGCTGATGCATGCCGAAGGGGGAAAAAGAGAGTAGTTCAAAGAATGTATCGATTCGGTCCAAACAATGTTCTGAATCCGTTAGTCTTCTTGTTTTGCCATTTTGTTTAAGTTTTGTCAATCTTTATATCACAGTATGTGCATCGAGGACACGAAATTGCAAGTTTTTTTAATACTTTTTTTGGAAATTCCTGGAAGCACATTATGTGTTATATATCCCTACAAGGCATACGTTGGAGAAAATGTGGTAATCAGTCATGACATTCTGCACCGCTCCAATAAAATAAAGAACTGGGACATGAACAAGGCTTTTGACAGGAGTTCCGTAGCATCTTCTAGAATCAGTTCTTCGTTCGTATGAAATTGCCGCCTGATTAGGTAACATGGATGATCATATTTCGAAATAGTGGAATATGCAATCAGAAGAAGTCACAGGGGAATCAATCGATGTCAGCCATTGGAATTGAAATATCGAACAACGCTAAATCTATGTCTATCTTCAACAAGCCTCTCTAACTAGTGTTTCGAGTCTGAATGAGTAGAACAAATTATTTCCGATGAGAAACAAATTCAGCTCATTAAGTACAAAAAAATTATCGGGTTTCTTTTGATCCAGATGCACATATTCATGAGTCTATTTTATAGCCATCAATCTCTGCACTCTCTGTAGAACAATGTTTACAACAACGGAGACTAAGCTCATTGGATGTATAAGAGTAGGAACAATTGGCAGATTTACCCAAAACTTTACATGCGTCGTCAATTCTACCCTCTTCTTTTTTGATTAGTCAATATTACCCAAAACTATTCAACTTTTAGCCGATTTTGTCCAATTTGCTATTTTCCGTCTAAATTAACGAAATTTTATTTGTTTTAATTACAAAAATATCCTAATAGTTTTAAACATTTATAAAAATGACCCAAAAAATTTATAAAAATTACAAAATAGTCTCTTTTCAGTTTTTATTTAAATTTTTCTTTTTTTATTTCCTTTTACTATTTTCATAAACATAAAGATACACTATATGATCTTTTAAATAAATAATTTATTTTTAAACACTACAGTACAAATTTATAGATATACATTTTGTAACTCATGGTTGATTTACATAAACATATTAAATTTTTTAATAATATGGCTAGACAATAATGATATTATTTTTTTAATCCTTCTTTTTTTAATTTAAAGAATAAGATTTTTTGACTAAAACTAATTTTTTACAAAAAATTAAAACATTTAGCATAGATTAAAAAAATATATATTAGTACATTTTAATTTATTGTAAATTAACTAAACAGACTATAGATTGTATTATCTAATTAAAAAAATTATTAAATTAAAATATAGGGTACTGTCTAGTGTTTAGGGTGTTAAGTTTCATGAGAGTAAATATAAGATTAATTCTTACCAAAGGATTTCTAACCGGGAGAGTGATTTTACCCACGTTTAAGCGGGGTCCACTAAAGGTAAGAGGGTTGAATTGGATGGTCAGGTGATTTAAGATATGAGATGATTAAAACTGTGTTCGAGGTTCGATTCTCACTGGAGAAATCCAATTTTTTTATGCAAAAAAATAATTTTGTGAATCTGGAATTCTTCATCATCTTTGTTGTCGGTCCTTAATTAATTTCGGGTGAACTCAAAAGTTTCATGTAAAATGTATACGATTGTTTCCCTAATATGAAATTAATAAGTTTTTATAAATTTAGATTTCATTTTTAGTTTTAGTTACTTGCAAAAATGATATTGGGTAATTAAATTCACGACAGAATTATTATTATTAGTGGTAGTTGTTGTTTTTTACTAATCCACTCTACACCTTATTACTTTGGATAAATTAGGAGTAGAGGAAGTGTTAAAAATAGCAGCATATAGTCGTGTATACACAAGTAATTTTTGGAAATGATGCTTTCTCTAGTTTGTGGACATTTTCTGTGTAATTGCAACACTGTACAATTGAATAGCATAAGTAATATTCTCCGTAAGATTGTTGCCATATATAGAGTAATTAGCTGTCTACCATTGACACTTGACAGTGTTCTTTGATCTGCCTTCCCATCTATATGAGTTCAATATTTCTCGAAAGCCAAATTGCCGACATGATGTAGGAGGAAATTCGGACGAGCTCATTATTTGCATCCCTTATATGGAGCATTCAATGAACTTCATTGATATCAAAACTAGTATGCAGCTGGGATTGTATTTTTTACTCTGAGATGCAAATAGTGAGCTGATCCATACAAAAGCTACACGAGGTTAGAAGAACTCTCAACCCTTTTACTGCTGAAATGATGGCGGTCAGAATGGTTTCAAGTGAAGCTAAAAAAAGAAGTTTTAAGAAGGTGAAAATGCAGTTAAATGATAAGAATATAGTCGCATGAGTGTATGGGAAAGTATTTCCAAGAGCTGAAATTTAGGCTGTAGTCAAACACATCTCTTTGTTGAAATCATATTTAATATATGTAAAATTTTTGTTCATGAAGAAGTAACGGATTAATACTTCGGCTTTATTTGGAATTTTTTTTAATAGTAATTTTAATGTAATTAAATAATAAATGTCCATCAAAGCATATGTTTTTATATTTTCAATATAAAAAAATATCTAAAACACACACTGAAAAAATAATCCAAACATGGCCTTCATATCTCAGGTTAGCTAATACTCCCTTCAGATAAGAAACTAATTGTGTGTGTGTGTACTCGGGTAGGATGACTTTGGATTGCTAGCTAGTGATCGAAATGTCATTTTAGGGTTAATTAATCCAATTGAACAAAAAAAAAAAAAACAACTATAGATGTAAAGAAATTAAAACTAATCACACCATAAGATTTGATAATGCATAATAACCCCCAAAAATTAACTGGTTCAAACACAAACAACACAATTTTACAAATTAAGCATCCAGAAATGATCTCAGTTTATTAATTAAAATAGTGCCTTACTTTGCTAAGAAAGCCATTCATCGAAGCAATACCAACAGCAGCTAGCTAGCAGCGCCATCATCGTCAAATCCGGCCGCCAAGTTCACCGAAGCTGTCGGACGCATTTATAGTGTTTTCTAAGTTTCTAACATTTGTAAACACATATGCATTTCTTGTGCTTCATTCCTACTAGTTTTAATAAACTTACACGAAATAAAACAAGAAATTAAAGATTTAAGCACAATAAATAGTACTTGTATTTCTGATTGCACGGAGTAACGTTATAGATATTCATAACTATGAGTTCAGAATTTGTATAAGCTTTAACTCTATTCATATTCAAGTGAACTTATTCTGGATGATAATTACTCTATCACCATATATTCAATCCAAATTGTGTTTATTTTCAGCTCCTGTCAAACTAAAATGAAACACAAAGTAAAGAAAAAGACGTAAATTCAAACACACAAAACCCTTCATTTTTATTCCAATTAAAAAAAACATTACACAAAACATCACAATTTAACATCCAACAAACAAAAGCAACTAATTAATTAAAACAACTACTCACACAGAGCCAAAATTTCTCAATCCACATTGTCCATCCCTTCCCCAGATCCCTACCCCGGCTCGCCGGAGGGATACCCGCCCGCAGTAGAAGGGTTATCATTGAACATTGGAAGATGATCATAAATCCCTGCTGCCGCCGGAAAACCAGCTGAAGGAGCAGCTCCAAAGAATCCAGCTGGCGGCGGGTAATAATACTGCCCCATCTGACCAGGATAACCCAGTGGAGCAGCAAAGGCACTGACAACGGGAGGCGCAACATGGGGGCCCAATGGCCAGCTGGCAGCCGAGGAGGCCGAGGGTTGAAATTGAACCACCGGATTTCGAGCAACTAATGATGATCCCTGCGAGAATTCTCCTGGTGATGCTGGAGATAACGTGCCAAGGGTTCGATGTAATAATCAAACCCTAGGGTGTTCATAGCCGAAATAACGTCCTCCGGAGAGTTGATCTTTCGGTGCTCCTTCTTGCACTTATCGTTAGCCTCGCCACTGATGAAGCTTATGAATTCCGTCACGCACATCTGGACAGAATCTTTAGCCTCCTCGGAAATTTTCGCTTCGGGAGGCAGGACTTTCTTCATTATCTTCATCACGCTTGCCGAAAGCATTATGGTTCCTTCGGATTCTAAAAGCACCGGACGTGCATTTTCGCCACGATTCTTGTTGTTGTTGTTATTGTTGTTGTTGCCGTCTTCGCCATTGTTGTTGTTGATCATAGGATTCAAAACTTCCATTTTGTTTTTTTAGCTCTGGAAAATAAATGGTTATTGGAATCAAAGGGGATAAGAACAAAACTCCACAATTGAGAAACTAAAGCGAGAAAGCAACCAAACTATTGTAAAGTTTAGTACCGATGATCACTAAACTATTTTAAAATTTTAAGTTTAGTCACTAAACTATTATAAAGTTTAGTGACGGTGGTCATTAAACTATTGTAGAGTTTTAAGTTTGATCACTAAACTATTATAAGTTTTAAGTCTGGTCACTATACTATCCCACTTTCAAAAAATGGTCACTATACTATAATACTTTCCAAAAATTGTCACCAAACTACATTTTAAATCTTCTCACAAATCCAAATGAAAAATTAAAACAAAACGTTGTCCAAACATCAGCTTACTTTCCCAAACACATCTACATGCATGAAATAAAAGTATTCAACCTACCCTCATCTTTGAAATATCATTTCAATATTGTTTGACTTGAGAGATCCGGAGACAGAAGCGAAATACGTATCCAATTTCCTTTAAAGTTTAGTGTTACCCCTTTGTGGTTCGCTACTACTATATCACTTGCTAGATGTAAAACCCTAGCTATTCTGCTTGATCTCATAAAAAATAATGCACTCCTACCTTTATTTTTGAAGGTCTACTCACTGTATTGGAATCTAACATTTGTTTCAAAAGTTCATCAGATTGTGGTAAATAGGCCACTCTGTTGGCCAATAGGTATTATCCCCATAAGTATGGTGTCTGTTATTTAGACAGTAGTAAAAGACACAAGTAAGATTGAAAATGTCCATAGCTCTTGTTTGTATTTCATGGCGAATTGTTACTCTGGTTTATACAAATTCAATGATACTCTTACTTAATCCTAATAGCTTGGCACATAATCCCTCCTTCAATTCGATGATGACGATATTATGGGGTGTCACGTTTCAAAGAAGATAACCTAATTAATGCAGATATTTCAATCCTAAACCCACATACGCCTTTTAGAATTTTCAATAAAAAGAAGGTTGGAACTCCATTAACTAGCCACTTACTCATGTTCATTTCATCCAGAGTATTTCCACTAGTTTGAGCATAAACCATATCATAGAAAGTGTACTTATAGCTCTCAATGCTGATATAAGCGAAGTTGGTTTTTTTTTTTTTTTGTTTCTTTACGAATCCATAATATCTAATGATATTTGTATGGTTTTCCATCATCATCATGTTTCTCTTCTCTTCTGTGGAGTGATTTAGTGGTAAATCACTTACCTTTGTGGTTGAATACTCTCCAAAAATATCATGGAGCAAAAACCTGAATTCCATCATGAAACTTTTGGGTTGGCTATTCAAGGCTATAAGAATTCAAGCATCACCTGATTAGATCATGCAAGATCATAAATTTATGCAACTCTTATATGCCGTTTCTATCGTGAAGCAAATGCACCTGCTACTGTCTTAGTCAACGACCTAGGATGTGGTTCAAATATTTGGGATAGGCGCTTCTAGGTGAAAATTACTGACTTTATCTTCATCATATGTGTCAATTTAATTGTTTAGATTGGCTTAGGGCCGGTTATCATATTGTGAAAAATCATTACGTGATCAATTACTATGGAGTGATAATTGTGTCTTTTATGAGAAAGCATGGTTGTATTTGTTAAGAATTTTGTGTCGGTTTTTCAAGTTATAAATTTTAATAAATTAATGAAAATATGCAAATTTGTAAAATTGTTACTTTCCAAAGAGTTGGAACTCAAAATTGAGCGATCAAAACATGCATTTTGTAAAGCAAACTTTGCCAGCAACTTGCTAGTACAAGAGATCTAAGTTTTCTAGACACGACCTTGGTTAAATCATGATATGAACGAGGTTATACACTTTAATTGCTTAACTTATGTTTGCGTAACGTTTATTTGCCAAAAATAAACATAATAATAATAATAAGTGAGTGATTAATAATGCTAAATATTTTTCTTCCAACTCTAAGTTTTCAAAAAAAAGAAAAACCAAGGTAGCGAGTTTTATACATTCAAGACCATGATTTACGAGGTAAGAGTGCTAGGAGTTTATTACTTCCTTTTCTTTTTGACAAATGCAGATAATATCTCAATATCTTTTAAAATAAGTTAATCTAGCCGTTCTTCCTTTAAGAGTTAGAACATGGTAGAATCATGATATCATTAAGATAGCTCATATCTGCACATTGCAAACATGGAAAGATAAACGAATGCATAATACTTATATAACACACACACACACGGATATATATATATATATATATATATGCATACAATTTAAAGAGCAAGCTCGACTCAAGGAAGAGATGGCGTACCAATACAAGATTGATAATTAAGTTTGAGGTAGCTTCTATACAAAGACGGTTATACCCGGATGCTTCCATTTAATTTGATCGTTCTTAGTTATATAATTTTGATAGCTTGGGGCTCAGGTGTAATGTGCCGTGATTTTGAAGACTGTTTGGACAAGTGTTCATCGAACTAAATACTATCAACCGTTCATGTATTTGGTGATTGACATCTACATACTTGATAATTTTACTTTTACCAAGTCAGGTGCAGATTCCCCGTTAAGTTCATTGGGAGAGTAGGTCCTTGATCCAGTATTCGTAGACTAAAAAATAGTAGAAACTACATTTGTTGATGCTTCACTATTGTCTGTGTAATTTTTCAGTTTTTTTTTTGTTTGGAAAAGAAAAAGTTAACATACAATTTCACTATACATACCCTTTATTTTTCTGGAAAAAACAAAACTATACCCTTTTTTAGATAGAAAAGAAACAATATGCTATAACTACTCTAGCTAGCATATCATACTAGCTAACACCGATCTATTTCCCCCCGTGGAAGAACAAAAAAACCTCAGAAAACCATTTGAATAATCTAGCCGCAGTATCAATGTCAGAAAATCTTATGCAAAATCAAATTCCTTTAATAAGTGTTTTACGTTTCATTAGCTCTATCTGTTATCTGCACCCTTAGTAATGTCTCTGCCAAAGCCCACCATGAATTCCAGGATCATCATCATGTGCAACTTTTAAAACTATATGCGCCTCTAATTAATTATAAATTGATGGGTTTCATTAAATTGGAAAAATGAAGAAAACATATATAGATAAAATTGTTGGTGTGGCAAGCTGATTTTGTTAGTCCCTTTAAGGGTTCTCTTTGTTTTTTCCCCTTTAAGAAAACCTCAAAACATATTGATGCTTTCAGTTTCAAAGGATTACATAAATCCATCACATGCTTTTCTCTTTTGTTTGTTTTCGCTGCAGGGAGTAAATATCATCAATATACCGCCCATGGGAAACCGCATTGACAAAACTAATGAAAACACAATACAAAAACTAATTTTCCATCCCCTATTTATACCCCAAAATAGGCAGCTTTATTTCTTCAAGTCCTTCGTTTCATTGTTTGTTCTTCAGTATCTAAATATATCATACAAAAGAAAATACCTTTCTCTCAAGAAAGTCTTCTTTTCTTTCACATTTTTATGAGTTTTAAAACAATGGCAGCTCCCACCAGTTGTATGATAATCAACGACAACATACAATAAAATTGTTGGTGGGGCAAGCTAATTTCGTTAGTCCCTTTAAGGATTCTCTTTGTTTTTTCCCTGTTAAGAAAATCTTAAAATATATTGATGCTTTCAGTTTCAAAGGATTACATAAATCCATCACAACCTTATCACTTTTGTTTGTTTTTGTCGTAGGGAGTAAATATCATCAGTATACCGCCCATGGCAAACCACATTGACAAAATCAAATAGAAACACAGTACAAAAACTAATTTTCCATCCCCTATTTATACCCTAAATAGGCAGCTTTCTTTTTTCACATCCTTCATTTCATTGGTTGTTCTTCAAGAGCTAAATATATTATACATAAAGGAACACCTTTCTCTCAATAAAATCTTTTTTTTTTCACATTTTCCTGAGTTCTGAAACAATGGCTGCTCCCACCAGTGGCATGATAACCAACGAAAACAACAACGATGACATCGTCGAGGTTGACAACAACACCAACCCCGGGGAAAATGCTCCATTGCCAGAACCTTTTTTCAGAAGTCGACAGCACCCTGATGCCGCTGGCCAACTTGCAGCGAATCATGCAAAAGGTACTTCCGGCAGATGCAAAAATCCCCCTCGAGTCTAAAGAGCTGATCCAACAATGTGTCAATGCGTTCATCGGGATGATCACTCGGGAGGCCAATGACCAGTGCAAGAGGGAGCACCGAAAAACTATCCAATCTGAAGACCTACTTTACACGATGAACAAGCTAGGGTTCCATGATTACGTGGAACCCTTGATGGATTATCTCCAGCGTTACAGGGAGTTTAATCATCACGGAGGATCACTGCCATCTTTTTCTTCTTCCTCTTCATTAGCGGCTGCTGTTGAGAATCCGACAGCGAGTGGTTTTGCCCCCAGCTGGACAATGGGGCCCATTGGCAGTTGACCTTTTGGAGAGATGCAATAAATCCCTGGTTTTCCAGGGGTAGGGCCCTATTACGCACCGCCTACTCCTGGATTATTTGGCGGTGCTGGAGCTCCGAGTTTTCTAGAAGGAGTTACATAATTCCCTTTCTTTAATTATGATCCATATAATGGTGGGGCAGGTCAGTATCCCACCGGTGAGCCAGGTCAGGGAAGTAGTGGAGACAATGTGGAGCCTGACTTTGGGGGTTTCAATGGGTAGACTGTGTTATTATTAGCTGCTATTCTGTTTTCGGATATTTCTTTGTGATATTGTTTTTGTTATGTTTTCTTCTTCTTTTTATGTTTTGATCCAATTGTGTAATGTGTTTCATTTCCCTTCTGCAATAATGAACATCATTTGGATGGAATTATTTATCGTGTCAGATTAACCTTCAAAGAATCAAGTTACTTGATCAATATGAATTGCTTACACCATTCTTTGCAATCAATAACGTCTAAATAAATTTAAAGCTTTCTCTTTTACTTTGTAATTGTAAGAAATCCAGCCAATGATGACAAATTTTTATGTAGAAAATAAGAGAGTTTTTGGCTTTTTCCATGTTTTAATACGGTACACAACGATATTTAATTTTACAATTTCTTAGTGTTATAATCGGTTACGTATCATACTTTATTTAGTCCTTATTCAATCTGGGTAGATGGATAACACATTAAATTGATGATCAAAAGTGACACAATAATGTCCATCAAGTTTGTTTAATTGGACAAACACACTTGAAAACACACAATTTATTGTCGTAGTGAAAATGCTTTCATCTAAAGAAACAATATTAATAATTATTCACCAAGTCCTCATGATCATTTAAAGCACAGAATCCAATTTCAGATCAAGTCTTCATGAGAACATATACTACTCAGAGTAAAATCTAGAAATCATGTGTGAAAGTGTCATGTGTCATGCCCACGTTAATTTTGTTTTTTTTTTTTTGGGGGAGCAAATGTTATTACCATTCCCAAATAACGTTGCTTGGCATGTTAATAACGTTAGAGGAAGAAGTCTAGTCCACATTATTATTGCATGTACATATATGTAATTTAGTGATTACATATGTGTATAAATATACGATAAAATTGGTAATTACTGATTTTAAAAGTATCATTAATTAATTACTTTCAAGATCTAATCACATAAATGGTCAAATCACTCTTTCACTTCTTCAAACTTAATATGGATCATTCATCTCAGGACAACTCTAACTTTCCCATAGTGGGCCGGATTCATATTATAGGTGATAGGGCTATATTTACTTGTGTTGATTTTTTCACTAGTATGTTGAGCTCCATATATGCTTAGTTATCAGCTTAGTGAAAGTGTTGAGCTCTGAGGCTGTTTGGACACTTTTTGAATTGATTAGTTGAAGATAATTAGTTTGGAGGAAACCTGTATCTTATAATCTTTCAACTAAAATACATTAAAAAAAATCATTATTTGGGATTAGGGCAAAGTTATTTAGCTTTTATATCTCGAGCTAGGTTCCATCATTGTCGGTGATTGCGATTTAGAAGATGGTAGATTATGTTAACACCGTTGGATGTTAAGCCCTATTGGCGGCAGTTTTTATGGAAGACTATATTTTTGGGACATCATAGCTAGTTTCAGATTATATTTAATCATCGGAAAGATCCATTTCCATGACTTTTTTTTTGCACTGTTACAAATATAACGGTTATTTTTTTTCCAGTGACTTTAAGTAACTCAACTATGAATATTTCACTTAACTCTACTGTATTTGACGAATCCTGGATTTGTACGGTGCTTCGGACGGGCGGCGATGATGACCTAGGTGGCGGCAGACGGCCTAAAACCTGCAAGACAGAGCCTCGGGTATCTTCCGAGAGTAGACTCTCCGATGCTTAAGTCAATAAAGGAATAAAGAGAATAGAGAGAGAGGGATGTGTATCATGTGTAGAAGTTGTAGAAGATGTGGCGAAGATAAGTATTATGGGGGAGACATCACCTCTTTATATAGAGGTGGTGTTACCTTTTTCCTTAAACCTAGTCGTAATAGGTTTAGGCGGTGACTTAGCCTCCAAGGTAACCGGCCCAAACCCATTACGGTTAGGGTTTATTTATGACTCGTCAAGTGCCCCTAGCAAGCCACATTCTCGAGACTTGATGAGAAGAATATCGGTTGCTATAAGTACGAGGTTGGAGTGTTAACGGCTTCTCGACTTCTGTAATGTTGCCCCAATTCTCGAACATGATGTTCCTGCAACATGAATCAAAAGGGTGATGATCGACAGAAGAAGGTCCTCGAGAGGACAGGGGTTGACGATGACGGGGTCCTTGGAAAGACAAAGGTCGACAAGGGGTGGTCCTCGAAAGGACAATGGTCGACAATAGAAGGTCTTTCCAAAGGACGATCTTCGGGAGGACAATGGTCTATGAAAAGACGGTCTCTGTGAGAGATAATGGTTCGTGAGAGAACGGTCCTCGAATGGATGAGTAGTCATTGGAGAAGGGTTCTCGAGAAGACAATCATCGGCAGAGGGAGTTCCTTGGAAGGACAATGGTCAATAGGTGGTGGTCTTCTCAAAGAACATGGTGCATAAGGACTTTTAGAAGATTGAGCTCGATCGGCTTGAGCTTGTGGATCCTGCCATTAAACTCGACAAGGATATTGCAATAATAATAAAGGAGTTTAAGTCATCCTCAATGAAGAGTTGTTAATGTCTTCACAATATTGAAAAAGCACAAATATTGAAATTGAAATACTAAATGTAGGAAGTCATCCGAGAAAGGGATCCTTCTTGGGGATTATTCTAAACCTTACTCGATGTTTGCTCTGGATCAAGGTATCTTGGTTATTGGGTGGACGTGTTTAGGATAATGCTCTTCATTCTCACGTAATCCACGCTGTGTGTATGCTGCGAACTTTCCTTCTTGAAGACCCTTTTCCACATAAATCTGTAGGGTTTTGTAGTCATCAGTGTCGTGTCCATAAGTCTTGTGAAACTCACACCATGGGTGCTTCTGGCTCTTCTCTGAATCCAAAGTAGTTCTCGAGCAATCTTCTCGAAGTTCTAGTACCTCTGTCTGAGGACGAGTTAAGGGCTTGTATTGATCATCTATCTTACCCTTGCCCCTATCTTGGTGCCAATCATGTTCACATCCTCGGTGACGCTCTGCCCCCAAGTCCTTAACTTTGTCCTCAAGGTGTTTCTTCTCATAGATATGTACGCTGTTTCTGGCTCGACGGAGATCCTCTTCTGCTCGAACTTCAGTTTCAACGATTGAAAACAGTTGTTGCAGCGCATGTGGCGGCTCCTTTGTCAGCTTTTGTCTCAAAGCAGTAGGTGCCCCATACGGATAAAGACCATGGATGAAGGTGGCAACAATAGTCTCCTCAGATATTCCTTCCACCTAAAGTTGTTCCTTGGTGAAGCAGCCATAATAATCTCCAATAGATTCTTCTCATTCTTGCCTGAGTGACATCAGTTCTAGTCATAATAGGCTTAGGCGGTGACTTAGCCTCCAAGGTAGCCGGCCCAGACCCATTAGGGTTTGGGTTTATTTCTTTCTAGCGTATAAGCCATGATATTATTTTTTGCATTCGAGAGAGGCGTAAAATCTCTATGACTTGATTCAAGTGGATTGTTACGATTTGGTTAATGTTTGTAACATTGAAAATATAAACGCAATTTCATGTTTTATCATTGAAATATTACTCCTCTACTAGCCTTGGTGACGTACATAGTAATAAATTTAATAGGCCACAAACAATATTTTGTCAGTTAATATAGTTTGTTTTTTGCTATATTAGAATTCCGTTACTTATTTAGAAGATCGGCAGTGTTAAATGTGTTATGAATAGGTTCAGCATTTTGTCAAGAAATTTCGTTGTCTGTACCTTTTGTTTTGTGAAAATTTTTTCCCCTCCAGTTTTAAAGTTCAAATCTAGTACAACAAATTAAGTCAAAAGTTAGTTTATTAAGAAACCATATTACTTTAATCTCATTGTCCCAATCTCGAAACGAATATCCACAAATTGGGAATGCTTTTTCCAATTTGTACATTTGGTAAAATTTTTGTTGTTCCTAACTGAATCATTTTATAAAATTAGTTAACCTAAATTTGTGTCCTCAATAATTTTATTTCTGCAATGAATATAATTACAAGAATTTTGAAATTGTAACATATATATATATATATATATATATATATATATATGAAGGACTCAAATACACAAAATACTCTCTAAGCCTCTAACTCATTTAGTTTAGAAAAATAGTTTAAATGTACTTTAGAAAAATTAAGGTAAGTGAATTGGGTCAAAATCCGATTATAATTGGACTTAAGTTTTAGGACTGAGAGTGTTTTATTTCAGTCAATAAATGTCATATTTTTTTTCCCAGACAGATGATATATATTAAAGATGGGTACAAAATTACAAAACTTTTTTCTTTTCTTTTTTTCCCTAGATTCATAGTGGCGCTTGTGAAGGATAATGAGAAGTCTTCCTTTAGAAAGCTGTTAAAAACTTAATCGATGCGTTGGAATGTCTGATTCCAAACCAATTCCTTTTTTTTTTATTCCCTTTTGAGATTTTTATTTTAAAAAATTAATTTATGTTTGGACTGTTCACATGCAGATCACGTGAGCTCAATTCGATTTTTCTTTTCTTTTCTTCTCCTTTTTTTTATTTTTTTATTTTTTTTCCCTTTTCATGCAAAACCTCTATAATTATCTTTGACAAATTTCTAAATTATTGACGGTGGATATGGAGTAATGGTGCCACCATATTTAGGGCTATTCGCATGTGTGGCCATTTTACTCGCCGCCAGCTGGATTCTTTTGGAGCTGCTACTTTGAGCGGGTTTTTCGGAAGGGACTTATGATCAGCTTCCCATGTTCAATCACAACAATAACCCGTCTATTATGGGTGGGTATCCGTCTGACGAGCCGAGTCAGGGATCTGGTGAAGTTAGGGACAATGTGGATTGAGAATTTTGGTTCCGTGGGTAGCTGTTGTTTGCTGCTTCACTTGAATATGAATTACTCCATTCTTGCAATGGAAACCTCTAAATTTTGAACTTAATTCCCTTTAATTTTGTGCTCTCTCCTTTGAGCCAAGTGGAAATTAGTTTTTAAAAGAGATATGAAGTTTAGGGCTTTTCAAAGTTTCAACATGTCTACACATTAAGGGTTACAACATTTTTGTTGGTCCTCCAGCTGCCAGTTTCATATACTTCACATTT